GTCAGTGTTTACTTTGAAAAGCCTGCAGGGACAGGCTATAGACACCAGAACCACTACATTCACAGACGCACATACACTCACAAAATATTACAATTATTATAAATTAACATTTTCCACCCAGCCTCCCTACCTGGAGAGCTGGCGTGGATCTGTCCCTGGGGTCCAGTGAGGCTGGTTGGAGGCGTGCGGCTCTGTTCGAATCAGAGGCAGCGAGGGAGCTCTGATCTCCCTGCTCTGCTCCCTTGCGCCTCGCAGGCCGTCTGCTGATGCCGGGAGCCGGAATATGACGTCATATTCCGGCTCCAGCAGCATCAGCAAACGGCTCGTGAGGGAGCAGAGCAGAGCCAATATATATATTTTGCTAGCAATCTTGCTAACACAATGTACAGATAGACGTTATTGATGTAATTCTGACAGTAATATATATATATGCATGTATATTGTGTGTATTAGTAATATATTTAATTATATTAATAATAATAACATTTATACATGCATGGCACACAGAAATGTCATTAATAAATAACATGAATGTAATGAGCACGTATTGATCCAGTTTTGTTGCTAATTGCATTCTCCAGCACAATAACATATTCAAAGTGAAGAGCGCACCCATAGGACTTCATTAGGACTTATTATGTCAAGGTAGTTGGACTGAAACATTGATTACATGTAAATGTACGTCTTTTTAGTTCCCACACATAGGCATAGACAGACACAGGCAGGCAAACACAGACAAGCAAAGAATCCTACAGTAATATGCGTATATAGATATGTTAGTGTTTGTGGTGTAGTTTGTGTGTAGTGGGTGTAGAAAGAGAATGTGTTTGTGTATAAGGAATATTGTAGTATGTGTAGTGGATAAATGTGTGTGTAGGGGATACAGTATGTGTGTAGGGGATGCAGTGTGTGTATGGGATATATAGTGTTTGTAGAGGATGAAGTGTGTTTTTGCTGGTGATATAGTGTGTGTTTAGGGGATGTAGTGTGTGTAAGTAAAATATTGTGTGTGTACTGGTGATGCAGTGTGTGCTGGTGTTACAGTGTGTAAGGAATGTAGTATAAGATAAGGGATGCAGTACGTGTAAGGAATGTAGTATAAGATAAGGGATGCAGTACGTGTAAGGAATGTATTGTGTGTGTGCTGGGGAAGCAGTGTGTGTGTATCTGTGCTAGGGAGATGTGTGTGCTGAGGATGTAGTATGTAGATTACTGTTATGAATTGTGGGATAGGGGCTACAGTGTGTGAAGGGGGGTTAATTTGTTTGATTTAGCATATATATATATATATATATATATATATATATATATATATATTTAGTTTAAACTCCCCTTCCTCTGAATACATTAGGAAAAGGGGAGACATTACAATGAGCGCTGGTGGTCCAGTGTGTGTAGAGTCTGTGGTCTTCCACTCTGCCTGGAACAGACCTCGTGTAATGACTCTCGCAAACTCTGGACTCTTAGTTTCATTGCGTTACCATGGTAACTTGCGACAATACTCAGAACTGCCGGAACTCATGCGAACATTACACCAGCTCTGCACCTTGCAATGGGTATGTGCAGATGCTCTCCGGGCTCCCAATTCCTCTCTATAGTGGAGGCTAATAAGAAAGCATTAGCCTGCCCAGCAAGTGGTGGTGATTGGCTGAGAGTGTCAGCTGACTACTTTCAACCTATCACAGCCATCCATTGCTGGTATGAATTGGTATAATTAAGGAATTGTGTAATCTCTGCCTTAGACATACCTTCAGTGGGGGCCAGTTTGTGGGTAGCCAAGGACCTTCTTTCATTGTTAAAGGAACATTATAGCATTAGGAATACAAACAGCCACGCTCTCTAATAACATGCTCTGCATGAGAAGTATTTGATTAAAAAAACGAGTCTGACTCAATGAAATGTCACTACAGACTGGCAATTCTTTGCATTGCAGGGTTAAAACGACAGTGTCACTGCACCCAGCACCTTACTAAGATGAAGTGGTCTGGGTGCCTTTAGACTCCCTTTACACTGTTTGAAAATGGTTTTAAACTGAATGTAAGGACAATTCTATGAAGTGGTTATAGTGCCTAGAGTCTCCTTTTAAGCGACATTTTGTGCAGCAATTCTCTCCTTCATAAAACAAAGTGATCTCTACTTTGTTTTATAATATATGTTATTGCATTGGAAATTCTATGATATTAAAATGCATTCTATGTGAGGTTTTCCATGGACATGCTATGTTTATGAAAAAAGATGGAAGGTGACAGAGCCACTTTAACAAAAAATGCATGAGTACTGCTAAGATTCTTCCTGGGATATGCTATTAAGTCCTCTTTGAAAATATTACAGTAACTAAAATATATCAATTGTTTTCTATATCAAAATCAATGCTGCAAGGCTCCTCCTGGCTTAATGTGATTTATAACCCACGAATCCCATGGTGCCATGCTCATGGCCTACTGAATCCAACTACACAGTCATCACACTTTTAGTACAAGGAAGGAATTCCTGGCACCAGTGCCCAAAAGTGCTGGAGAGATTTATGTGTTTTCCAGATACTTCAGATATATGCCCAACATGGAAGCTCTTGCTCTTAACATACTGTCCTTGGCTTGAAGGACCACTAAAATAATCCTTGGCACTTCATCTCAATGAAGGGGTCTGGGTGCAGTGGTCCTGTAACCTGACAGCCACTAGAGGTGCTTCCTCCTCCAGAAATCAAGTGAAACTCTGGAATAAAATAATTTTAATTGCAGCATACGATTGGAGGAGCCCAACATTTGGCTGCATATGCGTATGTCCTAATCAGTGTTTCTCTATGAAAAGCATTGGATTGGAGCATGTTGCGGAAAACATCAACAAGCATCCTGTCTTTGAGGGCAGAGCAGGTGACTGCAGCAGAGGAGTCCCGGTGCTAGAAACGGGGTAAGTAATCCGTAGTTAACGTAATTTTTTTTAATAGCATAGGGGTGTGGACAGAAGGGAACCTATAGTCTCGAAAGAATGTGCTATGTTTTTATTTTCAGGAGAATAGACTTCCTTTAAAGGAACGCTATAGTGCCAGGAATACAAGCATGTATTCGTGACACTATAGTGCTGGAGTGGCTATTTAGGTCCTTAGCCACCTTCTCTGTGGAGTGATAAGGTTATTTTACTTACTTTTTCGTCACCACCACACCAAACTCGCTGCGGCTGGCTGGACTAGGAAGCACCTCTAGTGGTCGTCTGAGTTACTGCCACTACAGATGTTATTAGCCAGCAATGTAAACCCTGCCTTTTCTTTGAAAAGGCCTTGTTTACAGTGCTAAGACTGTGGGGACATACTGCTGTATTGGTTCTAATCTACAAAATGTATATTAAAGGGACACCCCAGACCCTTAAGGCACCTTAGCTTGCTGAAGTGCTTTATGTGTGAAGAGTGTGTCATCTTCTTCATTTCACAAAAATTGCTGATTGCAATAAAGTTGGCACTTTTATGAATTAACCTTGTTACATCATCCTGACTGTCAATCAGACAGCCGGTCTTGTAACTTCCTGGTAGTTTAGCACAATAGAGCTAAACTCAAGAAACAGGCAATTGCCTTGTCAAAACTTCTCATTGAGCTCCATTAGGAAGTCTGTGATTGGACAGCCACAGAAAGACTTTGCTAGGGAATATGGTGAGGGCTGTCAAAGGCTATGGAGAAGAGAATGGCAGCTTTCGCAAGTTGTTTTTAGCTATATCCCGTTGAAACAAATGCATAATTAAATATGTGCATTTTTATCACTAAGGGCATATCTACTAAATAGTTTTTTAAAAAGAAATTATTTTAAAAAAAACGAAAAACTATTTGGGAAGTGAAATACCCTTGTAGCTATAATTGCTAGGACACCATTATAGTAATCTTTAGGTGTGAGAATTCTGGCTTTGCTTGGACAGATTCAATATGAATACCCCAATAACCATTGATTGCTTTAAAGAATGTGATAATTTGCTATTATCTGGTAATTATCTGTTATTTTGTAAGGGCAGTTCAGTACTACAAATATTAGGCACTTAAAGGACCACTAAAGTCACCAAGGCCAATTTATTTAAATGAAGTCGTCTGGGTGCAGTGTTCCTGTCCTTTTAAGAAACTGCAATGTTTACATTGTAGGATTAAATCCTCCTCTAGCGTCTGTCATACTGACAACCACTAGAGACACTTCCACGGAACTGAGTAAAACCTCCATAGTAAAACAATGGTTCAATTACTTTCCTGTGGGAAAGTTTGGATGCACCCAAGGTGCTTACAGCGCATGCACATGATGTCCCCAATGCTCCTCTATGAAGAGCATTGGATTGCACATCGGCGCAAAGGTAAGTAAGGCAAGTATATCTTTGAATTCTCTAATTTATGTGGCAAAATATAGTGGGGGACTTTAAAACAACTAGGTACATTGAAGTGTTCCTGACGCTTTAATATTCCTTAAAGGATACCTCACAACATTTAAAATGGGCAATGAGGAACACTTTACTTTTAGGGAAATGAGTGGGGATGTGGGCAGGGGTATTAATGAACATTTGTGGAACTAAAATAATGTAAAACAAGGACAATGTACCTTATTTACACAAAATGATTTAGAACCCATTTATTGTAGTTCAAAGACACTTTGCTGTAAGTATTATTGCGGTTGAGTTCTGTTATACATTCTGACACAGCAACATTATGGAGCTTCTAGAAAAGAGGGACATTAGAATAGAAAAGAGGGACAGAGGGATTTGAAAATAGGGACTGTCCCTCCGAAATAAGGACACTTGGGAGGTATCTGTTAGTCACCATCATATTACTGTTCTACAAGGTTGTTTTTTTGTTTTGTTTTTAATTTAAGTTAAATTGTGAGCCGACATAATTAAATAGTGTCACTTTAATAAGCTACATCGGTAATGATTGTGCATAGCTTATAACATTTTCACACAACACTTGGAACAGGCAGAAAAGTTTCTTACAGGCAAATGTAAGGACAGCCATTCAGTAGGGGTCCTAGCAGCCATGTTGGTTGGGGCAGAGCTAGGTTGATGATGTGTAAGGAGGCTTAGGTGGAACCTTTACTTCCTGCTGCACTCCATTGGTTTATATCGGTAATTTATTGTTTTATTCTGGTTGTGGGAAACTTTGTGCGTTTTTTTTTTTAAGACATTTTAGAAATAACTTATTCTGTTTGAGGCAGCATTTATATACTTGTTTATTGCAGAAAAGTATCCCTTAAACATTATTTTACCTGTCTGTAAACATGTGTTCAGGTTTCCAAGTGGTTAAAATAGTTTGTCATCGTGCCATACTACTTACATATTATTTGTAAGATTTCTTTCTTAATAATTATGTTTAAAACGTGATTTTCTTCAGTGAAAATGTATTGAAACTAACAATATGCACTTGCTAGGGGTAAGCAGCACAGTGTAAGATCAATATATATATATATGTGTGTAAAAGTTATATTGATGCTTGTCACTATTTTATTATAGGAACATAGTTATCACTTTGCATATACTCTCTATTTCTGTTGTTTTTAATGACATTATTTCTCATTTTTAATTGTTTATACCTTGCTTCTTCCTGCAAATATTGCATGAAATATACCAAACCTGTTCAGCCAGTGGCCTGAAATATTAGGTTTTATTCACTAAACAGTGAATTGTTTTGACGTAAAACACAATCTACAAAAAATGTATTAAAGTGACAGTCCAGACCTGTACGCCACTTCAGCTTGATGAAAAGCTTTGTGTGTGTAGCGTGTCCTCCTCTTTTTTTTTTTTTTTTTCCTTTTTTTTATACAAAAAGGGCTGATTTCAATAGAAATTGAAACCTTCTAGCGGTCAGTTAGACAACCGGTCCTGTTAGTTCCTGGTTTAGTTAGCTCAGAGCACCTGCCTTGCAAAGACTTCTCATTGAGCTGTATTGTGAAGTCTGTGATTGGACAGCCATATATAGTGTGGGTGGATATATGTATTTTTAGAATTTTTGTGTTAGTAAAGTGTTGTCAATTTCTGTATGAGCCCAGAAAGTTTGTAGGTAAAGGCAACACATAGTGGCTGTAGCCTGGGCAAAAAAATCCAGCGTTAGAACTGTAGGTTGCCGTGAATTCACCTTGTCTCTCTCCAGTAACCAAAGCCGTTGTTCAGTCAAATCAAAGGCTTCTCATACAGCTCATGTGCGTGCTATGTTCCTGTGACTAGAGGGGGACGTGTAGGAGGCAAATAAAATTTAAAATAAAGTGGGGTCTAGGGAAGTGGGGAGTGCTTCAGAAAAGGAAAGAGAGAGGGGAAACAGACGCTAATTAAATCCGTTGCCAGAGTGCAGTGTGCACTGACGCCGGACATATTTTTTGCACAGTACTGACATTTGGTAATCTTACACACAATCGTGATTTATCTGAATGCGCAGCGTTTCAAGCATAAATGCAGCACATATGGACTCCGACCACCATAAACACTTTCAAAAGCAGACGAGGTCATGGTGGTTGGAGTAATCCTTTAAAGGGCAACCAATGATTATTCAGCATGAGGCTGTATATTCATGTAAATTAGTTCCATTAATCTGTTAATTGATCTTGTCTGCAGCAATAACATGCACTTTTTCGCCGCAAAAGTGTTATAAAATACACATACAGAAAAAGACCTTAATCCAATTGTTATTTTGCAAATCTATGCACACACAGTGAATTGTTTTGCTTAATACGGTCAGGAACACAAACATGTATTGCTGATCCTATAGGGTTAAAACCACCATCTAGAACCCCTGGCCCCCTCATGTCTCCCTAAAAATAGTAAAATTTACTTGTATTCAAGTCTGCAGCTACATATTTTGTCCCTGTTTCCTTTAGACCTGCCCACTGCCTGCTGACATCATCAGACGTGGTACCCTGATCCAATCACAATGCTTCCCCACAGGATTGGCAAAGACTGACAAAGAGGCAGATCGGGGCAGAGCCAGCACAATTCAAACACAGCCCTGGCCAATCAGCATCTCCTCGTAGAGATGAATTGAATCAATGAATCTCTATGAGGAAAGTTCAGTGTCTGCATGCAGAGGGAGTAGATACTGAAGGTTTGGATGCATTTTAGGCAGCCATGACCCAGGAAGGATCTCTAACAGCCATCTGAGGAGTGGCCAGTGAAGTTATCACTAGGCTGTAATGTAAACACTGCATTTTCTCTGAAAAGACAGTGCTTACAGCAAAAAGCCTGAAGGTAATGATTCTACTCACCAGAACAAATTCAATAAGCTGTAGTTGTTCTGGTGACGGTAGGGTCCCTTTAAAGGGAAACTATAGTGCCAGGAAAGCAAACTAGTTTTCCTGGCACTATAGCTTTCCCCTTTGTCACTTACCTGGTTCCAGCGCCGATGTCCCTCGGCACTGGCACAGCTCCACCCATGCTCCTCCCCGCCGTCATCTGCAGGTGGGGGAGACCTAATGTGCATGTGTGGCATTGGCCGTGCTTGCATTAGGATTTTCCCATAGGAAAGCATTATTCAATGCTTTTCTATGGGGATTCTGGTGACGCTGGAAGTCCTCATGCATAGCGCCGTTTAGGCAACCAAGAGTTGCCTTCAAGCCCGGAAGTCCCTCAAGTGGCTGTCTGGTACACAGCCACTAGAGGAGGAGTCAACCCTAGCAGGTAATTATCGCAGTTTATAAAAACTACAATAATTACCACTCTAGGGTTAAGGGTGATGAGCTGAAGTGGTCTGGGTGCCTACAGTGTCCCTTCAAAGAGTTAATCCAAACTTTATGTCCATTTCAGTGATTTTGAAGTGGTCATGGTGGCTGAAGTCTATACATGCACCCTTTCAATATGAAACTTTGTACATACTGAGGTATTTTATATTGCTGTCAGAGGTGTAACTCCACCTCTAGCAATGTCAGCAGCCAGCCCAAGAGTTCCAGACTGGATAATGTCACTTCTGTGCTTATTTGTTGCACAGTGGGTTATTCATTTCCTAGAAGCACTGAGCTGACTTTCTCTGCCAATGAATGACTGGTGAAGTTGGCATCCAGCCTCTGCAGAATCCATATACACGTCTCCTAGCATCATAGAAGGCTTGGGAACCAGGTACAAGGCAAACCATTGCATGAAAAGTTATTTATTTTAATTTTTTTTCAATTTGACAATTTTTTTTTCAGTAGTTAAAGGGGGAGTTGGGTACAGAAAGGAAGAAGGGGGGGTTCAAAAGGTGTCACATTCATAACATTTTGGTACATATTTATGAGCTCTGTCCTAGATGATTGATTCGTTATACAGAGGTGGTCAAATATCGTGAATGCAGCTCTCAATAACCTAATACATAGTGACATTTTGCTTGCACATCCTTGCTATGTCTCCTTTTGTTTTCTGCTTACACCTATACTCTAGTGTTGAGAGTGACTGCAGCGTTGTCGACTGTACCTGGATTGTGTTGGGGGGGTGGGTATAGGATAGGTAAGTTACCACATATGTACATGTAGGTACTTGTGTATGTTGGGTGGTCATAGTTTGTGTCATCACTCGTCTAGTGCATTGTGGTTAGAGGTTATGCGGGGTGGTTGACTACACTCTCAGCTGGGTCTCGTCTTATAGGGGGACCTGTGTTATGATCTAGGCTCTATCTTCTCTGGTATCTTTGCTTTTAGTTCTTACTCACATATATACATATACAGATAGAAGCGGCGTTCTCTGGGCTTCTCGCTTGTCCCTGTGTCGTTCTGGTGGAACTTTCTGCCTGATTAACGGAAAGGCTGTTTGTTACCTTTGTTTCTGCGTATCCCAGTTGCTCACTCATTCATCCTCTGTTCCCTGGTGTCTCACTATGTGCCAGTATGCTTCCCACAATCGTCCAGCCTCTATAGTTGCCCCTGACTGACTAATCTGCCGGGCGGCCATGAGTTCGTACTCCCAGTTGGTCTGGATTTGTTGTCTCAGCATGTGATTCGTGGGGGTAGTTGTCATTTTCCATACTCTGGCTATCAGGGTGCAAGCTAATATCAGTGTGTGGAATAAGTTTGGAGTGTACCTTAATTAAGTTGTCGGCCATATATATAGGAGGCATATCTCCGGGGTTAAGTCAATTTACATTGGTAGTAGGTGGTTGAGGATTTCGCCCACCATGGCCCAATAGGGTCGGATGAGCTCACACGACCACAATATGTGATAAAATTATCCCTTTTCAGATTGGCATCGCCAACATTGAGAGGAAGTGCCTGGAAAAATTTGTGATGACCTTGTTGGAACTAAGTACCATCTATATTGTAATTTACGTATCTGTTCAAAGTGAGCGATGCATTTTGTGTTCCCTTTGTGAGCTGTGTGTGCTCTGCTCCATTGTGTAGTTGTAAAGGAGCAACCTAGGTGTTCGTGCCATGCTTGGGTATATTTGTCATTGGGCTCTACTGCTTTGTCCAGTAGTGTTGTGTAGATTATCGAAAATGTTTTTTTATGCATCGTACCTCTGAAACACCAAGAGTCAAATTTGGAGAGGGGATGGACCAGTGGTCAGTTGCAGTAGGGACTTGAGTTGGAGGTAGGAAAAAATGGTTCTGCTGGGGAGGTGAAACTTAGTTTGCAGTTCTGGAAATGTTTTTAGCTTGGTACCTTCATATAGATTATGTACATGTGTGCATCCTGCCTTTACCCATATGTTGTAGTCAAAGGGCATTAAAAGTTATTTTAAAGACATTTTATTTAACCACTTCAGTTAACAAACACTTAAGCAAATATAAGCTTGTGAATGCTATGTAAAGTTATGAATTTAGTTAAATAAAACAATTTAAATTGTTTTCTAAAATTGAGTGATAAACCCATTAAACTGGGGATTGTGAAACTTGCAATGAGTTAATCACACTCTATGTATTTCTAATGGTATATAACAAAAATCCATTCTGATATAACTGTTAAATTAATCTGAAAAGATATTATTCTAAAGATGAAATATTCATCTGGTTGCAAATGTTAAAATTATGACAACCAGCCAGAAAGAATCTTTACGTTTAAAAATCACGATTTAATCAAATCTTACTGATTAGTGATTTAATTTGTGATGTTTGAACAAATCCAATCTGCATTAATATTTATTTTTTCTCTTTAACTGCATTAAGGGACACTGAATGCACCCAGACCACTTCAGCTCATTGAAGTGGTCTGGGTGCCAACTAACATCACCCTTAACCCTGCAAGTGTAATTATTTAAGTTTTTATAAACTGCAATATTTACCTTGCAGAGTTAAGTTCTCTACTTTCCCCCTAAATTTCTCTCTCTCTCCGTTTTTTATCTCCTCTTGTATTTTATATAATATGTTATTAATTAGATTTTGATATATGTAATTATGTTTTGGATATTCAAATGTATGATTATAATGAAATAAGTTTTAGGATAAGAGACACATAAATTTGAAGAAAGATTAGTGTCAGAACCTCTTTATTCAGACTATATGATTTAAGAACGTTCAAATATGGCTGCAATAGCTTCATGAACTCAATATGAAGTACTTCCGGTCCGGCGAAAAACGTCTGACGTCAGACGCAACGTGACGTGAAAAAGGGCGGGAACGTGGAAGCCGCCCGCCGGAACCAGGAAGTAGGAGGAGGACACCACGACGGAGATGTTTGGGCGCCAAATTAGAACATCAGTGAGGATATAAATACCCAACATGGCGACCATTACTTTATGCACTTTGAAAAAGACTTTATTTTAGTCGAAACGCGTTAGTGTTATTCTTTTTATGCACTTTATAGATGTCTTTGCACATATAGTGCTGCTATTTTGTCTTATGCACTTTATATATGTCCCTGAATATTATTAAATTTCGAAAAGTATCCCCACTCTGTTTTGGAATTTTTATATCTCCTGTATCCTGATCCAAGTGGAGAATCCTGAAGGCGTGGTGGAGTTTAATACACCAGGGAATTTCCAAAGAGCAACTATAGTCAGAGCCTACTATACGTGGCTCTGCAAAGTGTGAGTGAAAAATCCACATTTATTTACTATATTATTTGGAAAAACAGTATTATACTATGTTTGGATCTTTTTGTATATAGGTTACATCTGAAGGACTGACCAGTGTCTCTAAGTATACCATATACATTTGTATTTGCACTCCTCTATCTCTATCTTTTACTAGAGGGACTACTGGCCTGTTAAGCGACTTTTGTTCGTCTAAACAACGCTGGACGTCCTCACGCTATGCATTAGGACTTCCAGCGTCGCCGGAATCCCCATAGGAAATCGAATAATGCTTTCCTATGGGGGGGGTGTAATGTGCATGTGCGGACATTGCTGCACATGCGCATTAGGTCTCCCCTGCCAGTCGACGGAGGAGGAGCGTGGGCGGAGCCTGACCCAGCGCCAGGGAACCTCAGTGCTGGATTCAGGTAAGTGTCTGAAGGGGTTTTAACCCCTTTATTGATGTGGGATGGGGGGCAGGAGGGAGGGGGGCACTCCAGGATCCTCTAGTAAGGCGTAACTTAAGGTAAAATTTGTAATCTGCTAAAGGGATTCTCCAACTGGTTTGTTTTCCTGGCACTGGAGAATCCCTTTAGCAGATTACAAATTTTACCTTAAGTTACGCCTTACTAGAGACATCTGTATATTTCTAGACAAATTGATTTGTATTGGGAAATAGTTATTCATTTCCAGTTGAGAAGCTTATTGTGTTAACGATGAACTTATAAAATTAAAACTACAGCATTCAATCTATGACAGTGGCAAAGGGTTTATGTGGGAGTAAAAAGTGTATTGTTTGTGTTCTGAAAAGTGGTCTAAAGTAATATAAGTGGGTAATATACCATACGGACCAGCTGGCACAGTCTGGTGATTCCTCCTCTTTTTACATCTTTGCACTGCTTTTCAGACACTTGTTATTCATAACCTGCAATATTACACTGTTTAGAAATCACTGCTCTCTAGGCAGTACAATGACTGCAGTGATCAATAGTGCTTAGATTGTAACAATGCTGTGTGATACAAAAAGTGAATACAAATACAAAAAGATAAGTCCTGCGCTCACTCCCATCACTCCTGGGCGGCAGCAACGACCACAGTATCACACAGCTTTGTTACAATGCCATGTGTTCCCTATTAAGGGTTAATATGTATATAGAGGTGTATATAAAAAATACCCCTCTCTGTCTCATTAGAGATATCTTTGCCAGAAGCTCAAGGAAGCAAGGTGAAGGGTCAGTGTAGGACCCGCTTAAGGGGGTCTGCCTTGATGTTGGCAGGCGGGCAATGGCCATTTGAGTAACTAAATGACCTCCATTTGTCTAAATATACATAGGGATTCAGGAGAGAGCGCAGGTAACTTGGTTTTTACTATATATTGGGGCTGATGTGTACTGTGGTCGTTGCTGCCGCCCAGGAGTGATGGGAGTGAGCGCAGGACTTATTTTTACTCTCAGTGGCTAGTGGTGAGTTGAAATTTTGAGCCCTGTTTATTTACTTATCCCTTATGTCTGAAAGATAAACTGTCTTCTGTCTAGTTACCCTTTATATTTAACACATGTTTGGTGATGTCTTAAAAATGTAATGTAGCCTGGAATTGGGGACCTCCATCTTGACTCCTTAATCATTGTTATAAATGTTGCCCTTTTCTGCCAATGAAAATAATTAGCAGAATAGTAGAAACTGAAACAAGGTTTCAATTTCTCTTTTTCTTTGCATTACCTGACCTGGCTGTGCCTGTAGTGAATGTGGTTTCATTGTCACCTGGTAAATAGTGCCTGGAGGCCCTGGGCTCCATCTTACATTATGGAATTAAATTGTTTACTGATAGTATAGCCTTTAAAGTTGTGAAGATGGCTCCCATTCACTGTGCCATTTTCTTCCAGTCACGTGTTTCAGTGCTGATGCCTCGGACTGAGCACCAATGATAGGTAACTATTGATATGTATCTTTCTCACAAAGTTTTTTCAATGGTGAACCAGTGATAGGCTGAGACCGCCAACCGAATGTAAAGTACAGTCATGGGGAAAAAAAGACAGTCTCTTTTCAATAGTACGGTTTTGCAAATCAGGACATGGTTGTGAATGGAGATCTAGTTGCGGGCTTTATACCTATTAGCTGCCATCAATGTATGAATTATTTGCTCAAAGGAAGATATAGGTATTTTAATGAGTAACATAAATAGTAAGAAAGATTCCACCAAAGCTGGCATCTGAATCCATATGGAGGTATCCTTTTTCGTCAAAACAAAAACAATGAAAAATTCTAGTTTAGAGACACTACAGTACCTTAAAGTACTTCTTAAAGGGCACCTACAGTCTGGGAAAATAAATATTTCAAGACTATAGTTTCCATTATGACCACCCTCTTCCTTTGTAAAATTAAGTTCAATATTACCGTATTTCCAGTGCTGGGACTCTGCTACCATCTCCGGTTACGTCAGCAAGTGAGTTATTGCACTATAGAAAGTACAACGAATTATTATGAGTAGAGCGTTTCTTCCCCCAGTTAAAAAAGTGCCAATTTCTATTGAAATCAGCACTTTGGAAAAATGTTGAAAGAAATGACAGATTATAGACAAATGAAGCACGTCAGCATAAGATTCTTGGTTTTAAAAGTAACGTTTCTTCTGGTCAAAAGACACAGCAAATTTTAAAAACCACAAGTTCCTGTCTGGTTAATTAGGGTATAAGGACTCTTTAATTATACTCACATTGTGATAGAAATCTAACATGGTGAACCGGTTAAACTTGTATTACTTGCTAACCCTCTTGTTAAGATTTTCTTTCCTGCTTGATTTGTTTTTCTTTCATCATATAAAAGCCTTTTGGTTCATCTTGTCTGGTAGCTTGTGGTCCGGATTCCAATTATGATATATCTAAAGTGGAATTTCTCTTCAGCAATTAATATATCAGTTTTGTCTATATTTGGACATAAAGCTGGATGAAATTCATCCAAACAGGAGCAGTATGGAAGTAGGAAGTACGATCACAAAATGTGGAAGGATCGGAGGTGCCTCTGGGCATTAAACCATTCGCAACAAATAGGGGTAAAGCAGATGGTGGAGCACGTTGGGTCAAGATGGCACGCAGAGACCACCGCCCTCAATACAATTTCATTGACATGAAGTTGTGTTGAGTGAGGAGAAACCCTTTAGGCGTCTAGCTCAGTAATGGATCTAATGTGTTAAAAAAACAAAAAAAACACTACAATTTTGTCATCCACCTGTTTCTATTAGACCTTTTCTTAAGTGGTTCATTAAAAACTGGGCGCTTGAGCCACCTATAGCACAGTCTCTGGTTGCAACGTGGCTTCAGTGTTACCCTGTACATCACTGTTCTGCAGTACTAAGCTGTGAGTGTAGGTCTAACCTGTTTCTAACTCTCTAATCGTATTACTGTGATCAGTATTTGCGTGAGCTGCTGCAGGTGGGTCAGGCTATATGTTACAAGGAGAGCCCTGTTTTTGTCATTTCAAAACTGATTGACACAAACTGGGCATATGGTACCCCAAAAAATCAAAATACAATTAAATGAACTATAGCTGGAACATTGCTGAGAATGGACCATTGAATCACATGCTTGTATTTATTAGGCACAGGAAACTAAATCTCTGCACTAATTGCATCTAATTCAAAGTGGGCCTTTTTTTTTTTTTTAATTTCTCTAAAAAATTATTACTCTAGAATCTACCCCTGTGCAAAGCAATTTCTTAAGCAGTCATCAGAAAAAGTCTATGTATAGTGCAATTAGCATTTGGATGTTTGTAACAAATCAGTGACGTCAAACATCTGTATATTGAAGTGACACTCCAGGAGACATTTAAAACCTCTGTAATGCAAAAGAATCATTCAAATAAAACATATCTAACACTTAAGCTACTTTGTGGCAAATGCCATCGTCATCCTCACAGCAGTGGTGTATCCTGCTTTTGTGCTGCCCTAGGCAAGACAAAACTCAGGTGCCCCCACCACCCCAGCCTTCCTCGCCTTCTAAATACACACACACACACACACACACACACATTCACTGACAGACACGCATACACTAGCTAACAGACATATACACTCACTAACAGACACATACCGTCACTAGCAGACACACACATTCACTAACAGACACGCATACACTCTCACTAACAGACACACACATAGTAACTCCCTGACAGACTCACACTCCCTGACAGACTCTCACTCACTTTTTTTTTTTAAATTTAATCCCCCTAGCCTCCTTACCTTTGGGAATGCTGGGGGGTGTTCTCCCTTTCCCTGGGGTCCAGTGGGGCTGCTGGGCGGGCGGCGCTGGCAAGGGAGCACTGATTAGTGAGCTCTCTGCTCAGCTCCCTCGTGCACCGCAGAGTGATGCCGGGAGCTGGAATATGATGTCATATTCCAGCTCCCGGCATCACTCTGCGGCGCGTGAGGGAGCTGAGCAGAGAGCTCACTAATCAGTGCTCACTTGCCAGCGCTGCCCGACCGACCTGATTGTCAGTTAGCCGCCAGGCTAACAAGACATTTGCCTGGGCATTTGGGGCGGCTTTTTTTGCCGCCCCCTGGAAAATGCCACCAAAGGCAAATGCCTTGTCTGCCTCGCGGCTAATACGTCCCTGCCTCACAGTCAATCCTGGGTGTCAAATACCAGCCTATGGTGCAGAGACATCTATCAGAAAGGCAACAGACTAAGTTGTATACACTTGGTGGACACATAGGATACGTTACCTTTGGACACTTTGGGATACATTTCAACTAAGCAAAATATACCCAGCCTCCTTGATTTATACTACACTATATTGGATGTGGATTGGAACTCTAAACATATAAGGTTTAATATATATAATTTCTAATACCCCTGATAATTGATCTAGGGGGAATATTCACTAGGCACTGGCACTTTTTTTTTGTGTGTATTAGAATGTAAGCTCGTCTGAGCAGGGTCCTCATCTACTTATTGTTCCTCTATCATTTTGTAATTGCTCCTCTTATTAAATTTTTCCCTTCCATAATATTGTAGAGCTCTGCTGAATAAGTTGCTACATAAATAATAATAATAATATCAAGGCAGCCAGTCACCTAAATAGATTAGCACTATAGTGTCAGGAATACATGTTTGACACTATAGTGTTCCTTTAAATTTACAAGTAAAGAAGTCTAGAACAAAACATCATAGAAATTTATTCTGATGTGACACACTGGATGTTTTTTTTTTTTTTTTCTTTTTTTTGTAAATACAAATTTTATTTATTTTTCAAAAAGAATAAGTAACATTGAGACTCGCAGGCCTCGTGAAGTATGTTAAATATTATAGCAGGAACTCAAATGTTTAAAGTCTAGGATTAATGGAAACACGCAGGTTTCGATATGGTAAGGTATAGATAGAACTTGAGATACGCAGATCTCACATTGAGCCTCTTTCGTGCGGCACGCAGGCCCATTTTAGGTTTAATGGTATTAGCTGTAGATGTGTAATGCGGTGACATATGGTTCAGCTGTGTATTATGTCTGTTGGGTTATTTCCCTCGTCCACATCTTAGCTGGACGCGTCCGCTCTCGGGTCGTCAGGTATATGTTTGGCAGTGCCATTGTGTCATGAAGTCATGATGTGTTCTCCGTGTCTGATCTGCCGTTCAAGCCTGGACGGTTTTTATGGTGACGTATAGGTTCTACATGGGCTCTAGGTGTAGGCTTGGTGTCAGCCGTCTGTGGGTGCAGCCTACTTCTGCGGGTTGTACCTTCGTGCAGTTGTGTGGCTCCGTGTAGGTTGATGCGGTCATGGGTGACACCTGAAGGTGGTATTTTAGTGGGTCTGATTGTCTGCTCGTGTGTGTGTGTGTGTGAGGGGTTGAGGGGGTGGACTGTCCGTGGGTTACTGTCGGGGGGCGTCTTGGTCTATTTCGTCTCCTGTTTTACCGGTCTGCGCGGTCCCGCTGCTCACTGTTTATGCGTCATATTTGAGCCTAGTTATGAAGTCTGCCCTGGTAGTCGTCAGTAGCCAGTGTGACCAGATTTCCAAATATTTATCTGAGGAGTTGGTTGCGCTCATGTTGAGTTCCTCTATTGCCCTGAGTTCTTCCATTTGGGAAAACCATGTGGTCAGCACAGGGGTTACTGTTTGCTTCCAGAATTGTGGGAGCACTTGTTTAGCTATGTTCAGTATTTTGTATGGTTAGTGAATTTTTGTAGCGGGATCTGGGGGTCTTTGTGTGGTGTAGGAGCATGGTTTCTGGGAGGAAGGGTGGTAATGCGTCTGAAAATGTTTGGATGAGGTCGTGTATGCCCGTCCAGAAAGGTTGGATGGCCTCGCAGTCCCACCAGAGGTGGAGCGTGGTGCCGATCTCTTTGCTGCATCTCCAGCAAAGGTCAGTGTGTTCTGGGTCTATGGCGTGAAGAGTGATTGGGGTGCGGTACCAGTTCGTTAGCAGTTTGAACGCTGTTTCTTGTGTCCTGCTGAAGACCGAGCAGTGATGCGTTAGGTAGCACATCTCCTCCCAGTCTCCACCCGTGAAGGTTTTGCCTAGTGTCTGTTCCTACATCCCCATGAACTTAGGTTTCTTCGTCGGGGTTTCCATCTGGAGCATGGAGTAGATGAGCGAGATCCTGTGTGGGTGGGGGTCGGGGTCTATGCACATTCGTTCAAATGTGGTGGGGTCTCGTGTCCGTGCTATGCCCCCTGGGAGGGTGTGTACATAGCTTTGTAATTGTCTGTATTTAAGGTGGTGTAGGGGGGTGGGGGTGGATCCCTCTAGTAGGTTCGGGAGTGTCTTGCAGTCAGTCCTGTCAAGTAGGTGGTGTAATCTAGGAGTCCTGGGGTGCAGCAGGTCCCTGAATGCGTTGGGGTCCAAGCCCGGTGGGAAGCTTTCGTTGTGTGTCAGGGGGAGAAGGGGAGACAGATACGGCGCCAGTCCGCACCTCCTCGCCACTCCCCTCCACACCCGCAATGTTGCCATTGTGTAGGGTGAGCACCCCCCCAACCCTCTGCCATGGCCGGGTGGACAGCGGCCTCCCAGCCTCCGTCTCCTCTACGTCCTTCCAGCTTTTGAGCACCTTCTCTTTTGACCACTTCATGACCCTTTGGAGATGGCAGATGCCAGGCCGCCCCTGTCTTTGGGTAGCGTCAGCGTGGCCATCCTCACCCTCGGCCTTCTCTGCTTCCACACGTATTTTCCCATTGCCTGTCTCAAGGTATTAAAAAAGGGTCTGGGGATATTTATAGAGAGGGCCTGCATGAGGTATAGTAAGCACGGGAGGAAATTCATTTTTATGACCTGGATCCTGCCTAGCCAGGATATGTGTGGGTACGCCCAGTCAGACAGGTCCTGTCGGAACCTGTCCAGTAGGGGGGAAAAGTTTTCCCTGAATAGGTCTTTGCCTTTCCTGGTCAACCATGTGCCCAGGTACTGTATCTTGTGTTCTGCCCATTGGAATGTGTGACTCTGTCTCAGTGGGGCGACCCTGGTCTCAGGTACACTATGTTCAGGACATAGGACTTGGAGAAGTTAATTTTGAGGTTGGATATCTCCCCAGATACCCTGAATGCTTTCAGAATGTTCGGTAGTGAGACCTCCGGGTTGGTGACGAAGAACAGGAGGTCATCGGAATATGCCACCACCTTATGCTGCGTGTCCTCTCTCCTGACGCCCCATATGTCAGCGTCGTGTTTTACATGGGACTGGAAGGGCTCGAGTGCCAGCACAAAGAGCAGGGGGGACAGGGGACATCCCTGCCTGGTGCCGTTGTGAATAGCAAATTCAGTTGTCAGGGCTCCGTTGATGATGACATGGGCCCATCGTACAGCGCCTCGATCCAGCTCCTGAAATGTGGTCCCAGTCCTGTGTGTGTCAGTGTATGGAACATGTATTGCCAGTCAACCCTGTTGAAGGCCTTCTCTGCATCTGTGGACAGCAGAAGAAGGCCTCAGTCTCCTCCCCCCCGTCCGTGCATGAGGGTCAATGCCCTGATCGTATTATCCCTCGCCTCCCGTCCCATGAGGAAGCCCACCTGGTCTGGGTGTATTAATTTGGGGATGTGTGTTTGGAGGCGTGTAGCTAGGATTTTTGCCATTAGTTTGACATTGCAGTTGATGAGCGAGATGGGCCTATAGTTCCCACAGTGTTCCCTGATTGGGATATGTGCTGTCATTGATTGCTTGGGAAGGTGATGTCCCTCCCGTAATGCGTTTAGTGCGTCTAGCAGAGGGGAGTACAGGTGGTCTGTGAATGTTTTGTAATACCTCAGTGCTAACCCGTCCGGGCCTAGGCTTTTGCCTTTCTTTGTCATTTTGATGGCCAAGGCCAGTTCTTCCATAGAGATGGGTTCATCTAGTCAGTCGGCGACTTCTTTGTCTATAGACGGGATGGGGTGGGCCGCCAGGTAGCTATGAATTTTCTCCCGGAGGCTGGCTTTCGCCTTATCTGAATGGGAGGGCATACAAGTCTGAGTAGTAGCCCCGTATTATGTCTAGGAGTTTAGAGGGTAAGTGGTGCAGGGTGCCCTGTGTATCCCTCATTCTTTTCGACGTACGTCGTTTGTCTCTTTTTGGCGAGCATTCTGGCTAGCAGTTTACCGCTTTTGTTGCCATGGAGTAGAAAAAAGGCTTTGTGTCTGACTACTTCCCCGTGGTGTTTCCTGTGGAGGAGACTGGTTAGGTCCCGTCGTAATTGTAGTAATGTCGCCTGGTGTGCCATGTGTTGTGCATTTTTGTTGAGTGCGTCTATTCTTTGTATTTCTGTCACTAGTTCTTACAGTCGGCTGTCTGTCTGTTTTTTGAGGGTGGCGCCCTGTCGAATGAAGTGCCCGCGAGCAACGCTTTTGTGGGTCTCCCATCTCATGGTCGGCGAGGTCTGTTCGGCCGTGTTCGTCAAAGTATTCTTTGAGTGTCTCCCCTATGTCGGCAGTTAGGTCAGTCCTGGTGAGAAGGTAGTCGTTCAGTCTCCACTTATTGAGCCTGGGTCTGTAGAGAGGGGATGCGAGTGTCAGGATCACGGGAGCGTGTTCCGCGCTGTGTGTTAGTGGTAGGTGATAGTGTGTGGTGAAAAGGTAGTCCAGTCTGGTGTATGCGCTGTGTGGGTGGGAGAAGAAGGTGTAGTCCCTCTCATCAGGGTGGTGGCCACTCCAGCAATCTATCAGTTTGTGGCGGATCAGAAGTGCTTTGATTGAGTTTAGATGTTGTCGGTATTCGTGAAGTGCCGGAGGAGGAGTCCCATCGCGGGTGGAGCGCTACATTAAGTTCGCCACCCCCCCACGATGAGGACCCCCTCCGCGAAGGACTGTAGCTTTTTAAGTGTGCGTGCAAGGAATCTATATTGTCGGTGGTTTGGGGCATAGATGTTTGCAAATGTATAGGTCTGCCCTGCGATTGTGCCTTTTTGGAAGAGGTATCTACCCTCCCTATCCGTCACCTGTCCCACCTCCTCGAAGGGTATCCTTTTGTTGATCAGGAGGGCAGTGCCCCTGGATTTCCCTGCGTGGTAGTTGCTATAGTAGCCCGTCGGGAAGTGGTGGTTGGTCAGTTTAGGCCTGGAACCTTCCCTAAAGTGCGTCTCCTGTATCAGTACTATTGAGGCTCGTTTAGTATGGAAGTCTCTCAGTGCCCCCGAGCGCCTCTCTGATTTATTGAGGCCTCTGGCGTTAATGGAGAGGACAGTGAGGCAATCTGGTACCAGCGCCATTTGCGCCGCAGCGCGGTGGTGGCCGCGTCGGTTGATTTGCGAGTCTGGGGGTCGTGGAGAGTGTATGTCAGGTAGGTTAGTCTGTATGGGTATATGCGGGGTGTGAGGTGTGCATGTATATTCTTGTCACCGTAGAGTGGCGGAGAGGTGTCAGCAACGGGTAGCAATTGGACCCGCGGCCACCTGTGGTCCGCGGGTTCCACTCACCTATCTAAGGTCGCTGTGCCCTGTGAGGTTGTAGGAGGAGGCAGGGGGACTCCGGGTGGTACCAGTCCTCCCCGTGTCCGCGTGGATTGTGTCTCGGTCGACCGGATCCGTGTGGATCCCCTTATCGGCTCCATCAGTTAGAGTTGTGTCGTCATTGTGATCCTCGTCGATGGGGCGAGTAATCCCCTAGCTCTGGGTCATGTTTCGTAATGCAGGTGCGGGTATCCGCCGTGTATGCGTACATTCATATTGTAACAGAACATCAGAAAATATGTTTCAAAACATTAACTTGCAAACCAGTGTGCGTAAACCAGCAGCATAAACCATAATACAGAGTGTGTGGGTTTCCCATCTCTGTTCCTTCCATCGTCAGTGGTTGTGTCCTCCCCTCTGTTCAGGTCCCCGTTCCCCCCCATGAGGTGTCCCCCTCGCCCCCAGTCCTCCTCAGGTGTTCCCTGTTACTCTAGTCGTGGGTTAGGTCTGCATTTGGGGTGGGTGGTGCATGGGTATAGTGGCCCGATGCGGGCAGGTCTCAGGGGCAATGGCTAGGTCAGCAGGGTCCACCCGCTTAGTGTATCCTTCCTCCCCCTCGGATTTCGCGGGCGTTCCCAGTGTGTGAGTGAGCCCCACCGGCGGGGCCCAATCCAGGTTGAACGCCCCCCCACCCCGTTGGGGCAAGGGCGGGCCACCCTCCGTCTTTATCCCTTTCCCGTCTTGCCTGCCAGTGTGGTCTCTCCTCCAGGTGTCTCCCCGCTGGGTCCCTGCCCTCTCCAACCCCCCCCCTCCGTAATGGGATCTGTCTGTATGAGGCCCCTGTCGTTGCAGTTTTCCCCTGTTCCCTCCCCCCTTTCGGTGTGCAGGTTCCATGGAGCATTTCAGGGGGCCTGTTGATCTGTAGCCGGGAGTCCCAGTATTCCCATATCGCACTCCCCCCTTCTCAATTAGTGCTGCATGGTAACTTGCCTAACCCCAAAGTGTTCGTAGGGGGCTGGTGCCCTGAGCAGAAAGAAAAAGTCCCATGGGGTGTTACTTGCGGTTATGTACTGTGTCCGTCACCGGTCCTCTTATGCGGCAGTCCCTGAGAGCCGGATGGCCTGCTGGCGGGACCCCTTGCTTCTGTGGGGCGGAGGTGGAAGCCCCCGGATCTCAGGAGTCGCCATGTTGAAGGAGAGGGGGTCCGGCCATGTCATGTTGATGGGTGGGAGTTGGAGTTCCACAATTAGGTCGCTTAAGTCCTCCCGGTGCCAGACTGTAAAGAGTCCCTTAGCAGTGTTGGCCTGTAGCCAGGTTGGGAAGTTCCATCTGTATCTGATTTTGTTGGTTTGTAGGACTCTAGTGAGGGGCCTCATTGCCCGTCGGTATGCCAGGGTAGCTGGTGAGAGGTCCGGGTAAAGCTGTATGTCCACTCCGTTTAGTGTGACGCTCTCTGTTCCGCGGGTTTTGCGCAGGATTTCTTCCTTGAGCTGGAAGCTGGCCAGACAACAAATAGCATCCTGGTGGGCCCCTCGGTCTCAGTGTGCTCTGATAAATTCAATGTTAGTGGCCGCCGGACGGCCCAGGATTCTGTTGAATAGTTCTCTGAGGGTGTCTAGTATCGGTGCTGTTTGATCCAAGTCTTCGGGAATACCCCTCACTCTAATGTTTTGTTGTCTACCACGGTTGTCCAGGTCTTCCATATGTAAAGCCATTTGTCTCATCTGTGCCGTGTGACTATGTAGGGTGTCCGTGTTAGCAGACTGGTCGAACGTCAGGTGGTCACAGTCCGCCTCCAGCTGGGACACCTTGTTGTGTAGGCCCTGGATATCCTCCCTGAGGGAGTGCAGCTCCGCGGTGATGGAGGCCTGCAACTCCGAAATGGCCTCCTTCATGTCTTGCCTGGTCGGGAGCACCCGGATCAGCTGCACCCAGTCTGGTTGGGGGTCTAGGGAGGTCCGGATCTGTGTCGCTTGTCGGTCACTACGTGGCGATGCCAGGCGGGAGATGACGGAGGCCTCCGAGTCATTGGAGGCCTGTGAGGCCGTTTCTGCGTGAGACACCAGGTATTGCCGTAGTGAGGAGGTGGTGGACCCCTTTGGCGTGTCGGCTGGTTTGTTGGAGTACGATGCCCGGTGTGTTTTGCCCATGATTGCTTGATTTTTGGTGCTTTGACGAGGATTTTATCTGAGCCTGTCAGGGAGCTCCAGGTTTACGCCGCCATCTTCCTCTGTCCCCAAAGCCACGCCCCCCCTAAATTTTACTTATTAGTTTCCACACTCAAGAAACATCTGGTTCAGCGTAAGAGTATAAAATATAGTGATAAAGAAAATATACATCTTGGGTCATAAGCATATGACTAATTTCTGTGCTATCGGAATCAGGCAGGAGTGTACATAGGCAACAACTGTAACGTTTAACATATAAACTAGCATAAGTATGTGGTGTTCCTAGTAGTATCTCGTTTACCTTACTCAAGAACATTATATAACGTGGGAAGGAACAGAAAAATAATGCATAGCACTACAAAAAATTTGATCAAATACATTTCTGCTACTCTTCTAGACTGCACAGGTAGGTACAGCAATGGCTAATCTTTTTTCAAGCAGGACAGTAAACGGTATGTCACTGTAGATTGCCACCGCAATGCCTTCAAACTGGATGTTGCCACGTTCTCTGGAACGATTCATGATCGCTGCTCTGCTGGATACGTCTCTGGTGACTACTATTGTTTTTCTGGGTGCCTTAAGTGGGGCAGTAGCAGCTTTGCGGACTCTGAATGCTGAGAGTGGTATCACTTGTTCGGCTATTCCTTTAAGGCCCATGGAGGTTAGTAGCCTCTGTATGAAGGGCAGCAAGCTGTCTCCATCGATCTTCTCGGGAATGCCTCTGATGCGGATGTTCTTTTTTCTGTGCCTGGATTCCAGACTCTGTCCCATTGAGTTTCTGGACATAAGTTGTCCACCTGACTCTGGGTGGCTAGGATCTGACCCTCTCGGGATTTTTCTTTGGTCTCCACCTCCTTAATTTGCTGGCGGATGACCCCTATCTCCTTTTGAATCTCATTAAGGGTCTGATTTCCAGACCTTATGCAGGTCTATCAGGAGGTGCTTTATGTCGCCTTTTGTGGCCGGCGAGGAGTCATCCTCTAAATCGGAAATCCTGTTCGACTTCACTCACTTCAAATGAGGTAAGCCTTTCTACATCATATTGTGCTCCCTCAGAGTTTCCTTAGGCACCGCGGGCGCCATCTTGGAGGATGTGGATGGAGCAGGCCTCGCAAAGGAAAGCCTATATATCTGGTGGCCTTGGGGTCTATGGAGGGCAAAGTATTTTATGCTTGCTGCCCATTCTTGTCTCTGTTGGGAGACGTGGTATCTGATGTTTTTTGAACTGGAAACTGTGAGTTCATAGCAGTTTTGCTCGGTTTGAGACGGAGCTCCTCAGGAACGCGTCTCGTCTGGTGCTCGGCTAACCACGCCCCCCCATACCTTTTAAAGTACCAATACTCACTGATAGGTACACACACTCACTGATTTGACACACTCATACTGACAGGCGCACACACATTCTGTCACACACACCATTATTTGTTTTATTTTAATTTACGTCCACCCAACCTCGCTATCTTTTGGAGAGAGGGAGTGTATCCTTTACCTGGAGTCCATGCTATGATCCTGTAATCTTCAAGCTCTTCTCGCTTTGGTCCTTTGCGTACCGTTTAGTGATGCCAGGGCCAGAATGCCGTCTTATCCTGGCATTACAGCAGGGCGTGCGAGGGAGCAGGGCAGGAAGATTACAGCGCTCTCTGCCTCCATTGTTCACAGCCCCAATCGAAGTGGGTCCTATGTTGGCCAACTGGCCAGCTCTTGGCCACCTATGACAGGCAGAACACATGGTGCAAACTCAGCAACGCATGTGGTTCCGCCATTGCACCGGCATGCATCAATGCAGTATGAACGGGCTGACAAATACCCAGGACAAAATTCCTTGAGCTCTGTTTTAAAATTTCTAAAATTTCTTAAGCTCTGTTTTAGGGGAAAACATAGAATATTCATTTCAGTTGCTTATAGATATTACATAGTTTTGATATTGTTTTATGAGATCAAAGCTTTTATTGAATAAAACTATGATGAGCATGTGTATGTGACAAAAACATTGTGAATAAAATTGATACGCAGATCCCACATTCAGCATCTAAATAACACTGAATGGGCGATGACATCACAACCAATAGTATTCCAGCATGTTGTCTGCACATCTCGCCTTAACAGTGAAAAGTGATAAACATTTAGGCAGGAAATACCATTGTGTTACCCCATTCACAAGCTCAGTAAATTGTGTATACATGTGCATCTACATCAAATATTAAACTTAAAAGAATGGCTCAACGGTATTCAACATACAATGTGATCAGTGTATATGTTCTGTGGCATGAAGTATCTGACAGTTATGAGTTACTGAAACAGCGGATGCGGAGTCCATGCACCTCGCTTACTTTTGAAGAATGATCGTAATAAATGAGAGAAGAAATAAGAGAGAGAAGAGGGGAAGAGAGAAGGAAAAAAAAGGGGGGGGGTCGTAAGGTAGATTTAAGGCCAGGTTATGGTTGCACAGGGTGATGAGGTGTGGAGAAGCGATTCCAGTACATTCCCCTCTTGCTATAGTACTCACCCTCTCTCGAAACCGTTTCAGAATGTAGCAGTCGATATGAAACAAGTAACGTGAAATTTGGAGAGCAGGGAGAACTATTCCGGTGGTTAGTGAATTAGCGACGACCGGGAGAGGTGCGTCAAACCCAGCTAAGACTGTGCTTTCCCTCCCCTCCCAGCCACCCCTGCGTCCCTCTCTGCCACGTAAGCCAACCATGGCCGTCAGTGCTCCACATAGTGTTGATATTGTTTTCCCTACTTGAATAGACACGACTCAATCAAAGAGACGACGACTGTGTGGCTAATTTTTGTTGATGCAGTAATGTGCCTATTGCTTATTACATCGTAGACTGTTAAATTGCCTTGTGAATTATTTGGGGTTCCCTTTTACCGAGTAATGTTATATACTACAAAATGATTTTTGTAAAATATTTATTGCTTATTTTCAGCTGTCCCCTTTATCGTTGAATTATCTTAACTTGTTTATCATTTATTCCAGTTTTCTACCAATATTGTAAAGTGCTGCATTATCTGTGAATTCTATTTAATAATGCATGGATTATGTTGTTTTTCAGATTCTTTGTACTGCTGTCCAATCACGTTTTTGTGGAAGGCTAAACTCGATTCATAGTCTATCCTTGTTTCCCATACCTCCTGCTGCTCATGCTGTGTACTCTGTTACCTCTGGTCTGATCTTGCTAGGTGAGTATTTATAGCTAATAATTGTTCGGATCTGATAAAGAGGTTGTTCATCGTGCTAGTCTCAAAGGTTCATATTGGAAAGATTAGATGCAAGTCAACGAGCTGTGACCGTTCCTAAGAACACGTGTACAAGTGCACAATAACTGTTTTACTGGTCATCTTATCTCGTAGTATGTTTTACAAATTACATAGTAGTAACGTGGCTATACGTGAACTTTCTTTGGAATGAATAAGCTGTATCTTTTCCCTAGACAATAAGTGAAAGGTTCAACCTGATGGACTTGGGTCATCTTTATTACTATGCATTACTATCCGGTAATGTGCCTGTGTCCCGATGTGGCCCTGGCATTTTGCCGACCCAGTACACAATAATTAGTGTGCTGTAAGGGTCCCGAGTCCTATCAAGATGAAACATCTGTGCCCTCTCTTAATTGTACAAGCATGCTATGCCACTGAACCATGTTCCTGGCCACAGGTAAAAGCAGGAAGGGGGGAATAGGCCAAATCTGTTTTTTTTTGTTTTGTTTTTTTTAAACGCCCCCCCCCCCCCAGCACTTACTTAACACTACAACCACACACTACATGCACTACACACACACATACATTGCATTCACTCAGCAAACACACACACTGCATCCACTACACACACACACTGTGCATGCATTATACACACACAATGCATTCTCTACACAAACACACACAATGCATCTACTATACACACACACACACACACACACACACACAGAGCATACAATATGCACACTGCATTAACTACACACACTGGATAACATTATGGATGTAGGCATGTTTTGGTGGTAACTGGAGGGGGGTGGCAACATTTCATCCTTGGACCCAGGCAGCACAATGATTAAAGATTAGCTCTATTCACATAATGTGCTCTCAGTATGTTCTGTGTGTATCTATATCTTATATTCCAACATTGGTACAGAGGATAGGAAATTAATCCAATTGCAAGTTTGTGTATTATAATCATATGTATGTGTCATTGTGGATATTAAGAGAGTGGCTTATATAGTAACACAGTGAGTGTGATTAATTAGGTATTTGTGTGTGACTAAGACTAATATGCAATGTAGAATTTATTGAAAGTGCCAATAACACTACTTACCTTTCTGTATTTCTGCCGTGATCCAGAGACTGGGGGTGTCACACTAATGTAACACCCACCCCTGCCTCCTGTCTACCTAACACTCCCATGCCATGTGCTTATAAACGGGGTAACCCTCCACAGGACACCATGCTCTGTCTCTAGCTCATGCAAGAGGAGTAATCACAGCAACTGCAGTGCATGCATTATATTTGCTGTGACAGCAGCAAAGGGATAAAAGAAGGGTTCTTCTGCTCTTCGTTTTCACTCAGGTCTCCGCATAGATTTGTGCCAAGAAATGATTGACAGGTGGGGTAGGGCCAGATATTCCAAACAGCTTTTTTTCTTTTCTTAAAGTTCATTTGTCAGCATTTATTGTAGCACAATGTGTAGATTAAATTACACTAGTTCTTCTAGCACAATGTGTACATTAAATTACAACATACGCAGTGTTAAATGCTGAGATGTATAAGAGCATGGCTAACTGTGCGTGTGCTAGTGTGTCATGAAAATACCTGGCTCCTAAATTCTTGTTGATTCATATTAGAGTGCTGCCATCTGAATGATTCAACTGAAGTCACATAGCTTATCTGTCTGTATGGGGCTACTAAATCTGACCTCCACTGGCAGAGGTGAGCCCAGGGTATTGAGTGATATTTGGCTCTCTCCTGTGCCAGCACAGATCTAGTCCTTGTTGGCACTATGCAAGATGTGTCTGAACATCACGGGTCTCTACTGCACATTAACCTATGTTATACCAGTCCATCTTTTTGTTGTTTGTGGAATATGAATATAGTCAGGCTTTAGAATATGTCCTATGCTTTGGCTTGCCTATTGCAGGAGTGAAATAGTATGTCCAACTTGGCAGACATAGTCTGTATAGAAAGTGCTGCAGGTGTTTTAGCTCAGCTCAGAAAATGCCAGTTTGTGCATGTGTGGAGTATGTATATGCAACTGTTGGCATGGCTCCAAGCATGTTCCAGCACTTAAGTATATAGCCTGGGAACTCAAGAGTACTGTTAATTGCAAAATATTATGTAATCTCTAATATATTAATAAAAATATCTGAACAGCTGTTTATTTAAAAAATGCAAACACAGTTTCTCCAATGTACACTGTCATGATTAATGAGTAATTAATGTTCGTTTCTAGATACAGTTCCCAGGTTGTTTGTAATAATATATGAATCAATTAACTCTACACGGTATCCCTTATTACAGATTAAAGCAACATTGTAGATTTTCCATTTTATGTTTGATTACAGGGGATTATGTGTGATATATTCAGAGTGTAAATGTTGATTGCTTCCTCCCAACCTTTGCAGAAGATGATCCACAGCCTTTTCTTGATCAATGGCTCTGGTGACATATTCCTGGAGAAACACTGGAAGAGTGTGGTGAGCCGTTCAGTCTGCGACTACTTCTTTGAAGCCCAGGAGAAAGCAGGGGATGTTGAAAATGTTCCTCCTGTTATCTCCACACCACATCACTACCTTATTAGTATCTACAGGGATAAAATATTCTTTGTGTCGGTAATCCAATCTGAAGTGACTCCTCTTTTTGTAATTGAGTTTCTCCACCGAGTTGCTGACACTTTCCAGGTATGTGTCTAGCAATTTATTTGTGTTTCACCTTATATTGTTTTTTCCCTTTCCTCTCTCTCTCTCTTTCATTTTAGGTTTATCATTAGGGAGTTGATGGAGAAGCTTTGTTCAAAAAGAAGGCAAAAATTACGTGTTAGAAACTTCCATTCCCCTCATTAATTTTGTAGCCCTCCTTTCCATTTTTTCTTTAGAACATGTGCCCAAAATTGCTTGGCATATTCAAGGTGTAGTTTTACCATTGATTTATAAAGAATTAAAATTATGTTTTTATTCAGAGAATTAATGTCCCTTTTTATACATGACAATAACTTACAGGCCTTAGTGACCGCTGAGTGACATTGGCCATTTTTGTCTATAACAATTATCAAATCCTTGTCATGTGTTTTCACTAATATTTAGGGTGTAGGTTACTTGTGCATTCTTTGACCCGAAGTGCATTAACTGTGCATTGATCTACATTAAATTTCCTCTGCCAATTGAGTGCCCAGTCCCCCGATATGTTTAAATCCCTCTGCAGCAAAGAAATATCTTGCTCACACTGTATTACATTTCCTAGTTTTGTTTCATCTGCAAACACTGACACATGATTTTCAATGTCTATTTCAAGATCATTTATAAATAGGTTAAATACAAGTGGTCCAGGAACAGACCAATGAGGGACACCACTTTTATCCAGCTTAAAAATGTTACCATTAATGCCAACTCTCTGGACTTAATTTTAAAGCCAGTGTTATACCAAAAAAACTAGAATTTTCATCAAGACTAGTTTATTTTAATTTAAATACTTACCTATTTTGTGGTTTGCAAACTCAAAGTAGATTGCATCCACTGTAACACCCTGATCTGTACTTCTGCTTACTTATTTATAGACTACAATTAGGTTAGTTGACTTGGACTGTGTTTCATAAAACCATGCTGTTTTCTGACAATTTCATTATTATTCCCAATGAATTATTGAATATTATACCTTAATAACCTTTCAAATACTTTCCCAGCCACAAATTTAAGCTCACAGGTCTCTAATTACTAGGCAGATAATTCGAAACCTTTTTGAAAAAAGTAACCACACCTGCCTTTCTGTAATCCTCTAGTACGATTCCTGAAAGAAATGATCCTGAAAGGTTAAAAACAGAGATTTGCTTATTTCACCACTTAACTCCTTAAGTACTTGTGGGTGAATACCATCAGGCCTAGAGCTTTCTTTATATTGACTTTCTTTAGTTACTGTAGCACCAGGTCATCAAATCACAACAAATCTGCATGTTTCTTTCTTTTTTTTTTTTTTTTTTGCCGCAATGATTTCTTGCAATTAGTTCCCCCTTGTTATATACTGGGATGCGACTCACCGATAGATACACACACTCACCGATAGACATAGACACACAAACACTCACCGATAGACATAGACACACAAACACTCACCGATAGACATAGACACACAAACACTCACCGATAGACATAGACACACGCACTCACACACACACACACACTGATAGACAGACATAGACACACACGCACTCACACACACACACACACTGATAGACAGACATAGACACACACGCACTCACACACACACACTGATAGACAGACACACACACATTTACACATTCTTGCACACACATAATTTTCTTTATTGCTCCCTACCTTTGAGAGCCGATGTGGGGCCTCTCCCTGGGGTCCAGTGGGGATCTTCTATCTGCTCCTCACTGATCGCTCGCGCAGTTTAGTGGTGCCGGAATATGACGTCATATTCTGGCGCCCGGCCTCATTACAGATGTCGCACGAGGGAGCCGTGAGGAGCAGGAATACTGAGCTCCCTCGCTGGCCCTCCTTCCCAGCCGGGTAAGTTTTAGCAGAGTAGGCACCTGCAATGTGGGGAAAGCAGGTACCTACTCTGCTATAACACTAAGCATGTACTTGTGGCTCGCCCGGCCGCAAAGATGTCCATTGTGGGCCGCAAGTTTGACATTCTTGCTCTAATCCAATTTATGTTCAAATAAGTAAAATCTCCAATAATGCATATTTACTTAGAATTGCAGATTTCTCACTTTGCCATTCTTCCTCAACATGGGTAGGTTATAGAATCAACATTAGGTAGGTTATAGAATCAACATTGGGTAGGTTATAGAATATTCCAACCAATAATTGATTCTCCTTTTGGCAGCACACAAATAGCAATAAGTCTCCCTTTAGTTCTGCTCTTTATGTATACAATGGTGTATTTAAAGGAACACCATACGGTCAGGAACACAAACATGTATTCCTGACTCTATAGTGTTAAAAACACAATGAAGCCCTTCCCTCGACCCCTAAATATAGTAAAATCATACCTTTATTCCAGGTATGCTGCTGGCTCTGCCCCTGATCTGTCTGTTTGGCTGACATCATCAAAAGTGATGACCTCAGCCAATCACAATGCATTCCCATAGGAAAGCACTGGATTGGCTAAAATTGTCAAAGTGGCAGAGCAAGCATAGCCCTGGCCAATCAGCATCTCCACATAAAGATGCATTAAATAAATGCACCTCTATGAGGAACCTTCAGTATCTCCATGCAGAAGGTGGAGTGGTCTGCAGCACTGCCCCAGGAAGCACCTCTAGCAGCCACCTGAGGTGTGGCCATTGGATGTATCCCTAAGCTGTACGTAAACACTGCACCTTCTTTGAAAAGACAGTGTTTACCGCAAAAAGGGAATAATTCTACTCACCAAAACAAATACAATAAGCTGTAGTTGTTGTGGTGACAATAGTGTTTCTATGATGATGATCAAAGGAGAGTATAAAAGTAGAAAGTGAGGGAGATAAAATGTATAAAAGTATCACTCTGTGAAGTGTTTGTTCTGTTTAGAAGAGTCAGGTGGTGGTTGCTTTCTACAGCAGGTGGTTCAAACCCATATTGAGAAAACAAAACTAAAAATGCTTGTCAAGGCTGGAGTTGGTACCCTTTTTCTATTTATTATGAAAGTAACGTATTGAAAAAAAATACTTTTTTTTTGTTTTTACATTTCACAAATCTCCCATGATGCTGTTCAGCTTAGCTGCAACACGAAAGTGTCTGAATAGATTCAGCCATTACGTTCTCTCCCATACAAAGCTATAGGAGTATTACTGAACATTTTACTCTGCTCTACCCACCCACCCTGGTTCATTCTAACTATATAGCATGCTCTTCCAGCTGTTTGGAATCACAGCCAATCACCTCCTCATTCCCTTCACATGCCATCAGCTGCTGCAGCTATTCTATTAACTCTCTCTGCCATCACATACAAATCCCTCTGCTACCTCTTGTCTCATCTCCCCAGTTTAACCTTTAGATTGTAAACTCAAGGGCAGGGTCCTCTACCTGTTGTATCGGTCTGTTGTTTTTGTGTTATCTTTCCTAATTGTACAGCGCTGCGGAATATGTTGGCACTTTATAAATGCAAGTAATAAATTACACCGATGCGCACACAACTCTTCAGCTAGACTGATTGGGCCTGTTTAATAAATCCACCAATAAAATAACATATATCACTCACAAAAGACCATCTTATTATAAATTAAGCTGCTCAGAGTTGGCTGACTTCTACTTTTCAAAAAGTTTTTAATGACAAATAGAGCATTGTTATTAGTTTTGGATAATGATCAGCTTTGATGGTTTTCCAGGATTACTTTGGTGAATGCTCTGAAACAAGCCTCAAGGATAATGTCGTGGTGGTGTACGAGTTATTGGAGGAAATGCTGGACAATGGATTCCCTCTGGCTACGGAGTCGAATATCCTCAAGGAGCTGATTAAACCACCAACAATCCTGCGATCTATGGTCAATTCCCTCACAGGTCAAAAATATTCCTCCCTTGCCAGACAATGTCACACTTATTTATATTGTATGTTTTGTGGGATTATTCACTAAAATTGACAATAATCTTGCTAAATTTAGGTCAGAGTAGCTGTGTTGGTGAAGTTCCAGTGGAATGCTTTGGCCAGAAAAAAATTAAATTCTCTGTACGTTAGTTAATAATGTTACAGCCTAATGGATAATATAATAATAATCTTTTCCTTCTTTTTCTCACTCTTTCCTCGGAACCGTTTACACTCTCTCTTTGTATCTATTGGTTTTCCTCTCTCTCTTTGGGTTGATTTTCGGGGTTTTTTTTCTGTATTATTTTTCGCTTCCATCATGCTCTGCTTTGTTTGTTTGTTTGGATTATTTTTGCTCCCAACTGTCTTTGCTATCCTGTCATTGTTTCTTTTCACCAGACTTAATTTTCTTTTTGTGCCTTTTTTTTCCCTTCTATTTTCCATCTCAAATTCTGTCTTTGTATTATCTTACCTTTCTCAGGGCTCTCCATCCACAAGTGTATATTTTGTGCATTTCTGCCGTTGGCTGTTTGTCGCCAGCATGCTGTGCGTATGGATGACAGACGTCCAACATGCCCAGAGCTCTTGATGCTTCTAATTTGACTAATGATGCCCCAATGTTGTTTCTGGAAGTGGAGTTATACCTATGGCAGAAGAGGGGTTAAACTCTGTATATGCAGCGTTTCAGAGCAAAATGCTGTACATACAGACTCCAGGCACCATGACCACTTTAAAACACTAAAACGGTCATGGTACTTGGAGTAACTCTTAATACATAGTGGAGAGACTTTACACAACACAAATGTGGATTCTTCAAATCATTTACTCTGATAATGGGCCTCTTTAAAAAAAAAAAGGCATAGCCAGTACGATTTATACAAGAGAAAGCAGATTAGATGCTCCACAGAAATGTCATTGAGGAAGTAAGTAGTGCAATAATAAAAGTATTTAAAACCTTTAGTGTTCCTTTAAATTACTTCATCTTGTTGATCATTATAGTTTTAAAAACACTATTTAACTTACCCATTTAAAGAACTTAAAAACGCACCTTTATTCTAGCTTTGCGCAGGTCTGCTGGTGCTGGCCACGCCCCCCGATTTGTCCTCTAGGCTGACATAATCAGAACCGATTGACTGAGATCGTCAATTCTGATGAGAGTTTGCCCTGCGTTAAAGACGGCCCTGCGTATATGAGCTATTATATTGTATATGTTCATGAGTAGTTTATGGTGTTGTGTATGATACATATGAATGTGGGCTGTTTATGGGGGCTGCTTGTGGAATTGTGTGTGTGTGTGTGTGTGTGTATGGATTGATATGTCATAGTGTGTGTTTGGTAGTGTGTGGGGACTGTTTGGGGTATTGCATGTGGGGTTGTGTGCATGTATGTGGATTGTTAGTGGTGTTTCGTTTGTGCGGATTGTGTGTATGTCTGTGGGCTGTCCTTATTATTTGTATGAGGGGAGGGTTATTCTGCATTTCTGTGTATATCTAGCAGTGTGGGTGGCTTCCAGTGGGGACTAGGCCGGCCAGGTACATGTCAAGGACAGGAGCTGCAACAGCAACTGCGAGCTGCTCTACTACAGTGTTGATTCCTATTCACAAGTGCTGGGAGGAATTGATCTGAGATCACTACCTCTACGTGCTGCAATGCATAAACTGAGGATTGTCCTTCACCACCTTTTCGGAGTAGCAGATATCTGAAGTTTTACTGGGACTCCTGATAGGCCAGAGCCTGTTTGGCTCTAGCAGCCTTGAGCGCCGTGCAAAGACACCTCGTGTGCCGTGCATGGCACTAGTGCCGTAGGTTGCCTACCCCTGCCCTAGGCTGTAATGCAAACCCCGCTTCTCATACTTCTCTGCAAATACAGTGTTTACTGTAAAAAGTCTGAAGGGACTGACTATACTCACTGGTACAAATACTTTAAGGGTCCCTTTAAATTGGGGAACAAAATGAAGCCATACAAATGCCTTGTATGTTTTTTTACGAATTCAGTAGTCAACGCAATCTTTTATTTAAAAAATATTTACCTATTAAAAAATCATCTTAAAGGGGCAGAGACTATTTTACAGTTTCCCCAGTTTAGGAGCCTGCACCCTGGCCTCTGAACTACCACTCAGCTAATGAGGATGTAATTGTTCATATTTTGGATGGCAGTGATGGTCTGAGGGTGCTGGAGATGGCTTAGTGCAGCTTTTACATCTTGTAATGACCATGTTCACTTCAGTGCTTCAACTGAGGGGATTTGCTTGATGTTCCAGGAGAGCCCCATCTTTTTTTTTTTCCTCTCAAACTAATCAAATGATTTGACAGCGTATCCAAAACAATATTAAATGAAGGCCTATGTTTTAACAAAATGTCTTGAAGTGTCCTGGGAATATCAAAACTGTATATATTTAATTTCTTTATCAAATTAGAAATTTCCTTTTCCTTGACTGCTCCTTTCACATATTTCAAACTAGAAAAACTCTTATGGTTAAATGTAAATAGTGATTCAGCAGCACAGTATTCTTCATATAGCAGTGTGATGTTTGATGTGTCTGTGTACACTAACCACCAGTACTGGTGAAACTCCTCTCCCCAAACAAAATCCACCCTTGCAGCTCTCCAGTTATGCTATTCTGGCTGATCATAATAAATATAGGCCTGAAAGCTTGTATGATAAACAGCCATCACTGCAGTAAGTGATGGAAGAACTCTTTCACAACTCATTATTTAACTAAATAAATCAGTTTTGGTGATACAATATCCACATTGTATTCACATGTGCTACTGTGTGTGTAAAAATATGTATGTTTGCATTTGTTATTTAATTTATCAATGTACAATGTCAATACATGACTTTTCCCATCTAATCTTAATGAATAGAACATCTTGGATGTGTGTAGTTTTTGCTTGAATTCTTTGCAATGCGTTTCTGTGTTACGTATCTTGGCATCCATCATATTTTCTTATTCTATAGGGAGCAATAACATGGGAGAAACACTACCCACAGGACAACTCTCCAACATTCCCTGGAGGAGGGCAGGAGTCAAATATACTAACAATGAGGCATATTTTGATGTCATTGAGGAAGTGGATGCCATTATTGACAAATCAGGTGGGTGAACTGTATAATGTAACATATGTTGTTCTTGTAGATAAGAGAGGAGAGACCATGGCTCCAGGCGGTACTCAAGTCTGCTGTGAGGGGCCTGGGCCTCCTGTGCATATATCTTTAGCAATTACCTCTATAGATATGCCATTCCTGGCCCCTTACAGTTTTAGCTAATGAAGAGAGGTCCAGAAGTCTAATCTCACCCTCCAGCAGTAGCAGGTACTGTCCTGACGCGAGCCGCGAGTTACCATGGCAACACTCCTTGGGACATGTTCTTTTTGGCACCTTGTGTTTTGCACTAGTACAATGTAGTATTGTTATTTACGTCCAGATGGCTGTTGCAGGAAAGGCTATGACTTCAACTTACTCCACAAATGCAAAATGCCATCAAAAATATAAGGCGGTGCACTGCAGGGAGCACAGAGGGGGTGAAAGTGTGGGTATATGGCCAAGGATAGCATGGATAATCTGCAGATCCTCCTGACACATCAAAAGGCAACCAATTTTTCTGTCAATTTGTGCATTGGTTATGACCATTTAAAACAGAACAGAAACATTGGAACTATCGATAAATGAGTGATGTATAAACAGTATTCATGATTAATTTAGCACATTCTTTTGCTAATTTCTTGCTGCACTTTCTGCAGGTTCCACAGTGTTTGCAGAAATCCAAGGAGTGGTGGAGTCTTGTGTCAAGCTAACTGGGATGCCCGACCTTACTCTCTCTTTCATGGTAACCATATAGGAAACCTTGTCAGACATGCAGAGGACAAAGGTCCTAAATGTGGGAGTGGTGCTTGCATGGATAAGGAGTGAAGCGATAGCAGTGATTTTCTTGTCAGATTTGAATTGTCTGCTCAGTCACCCTAGCCTGGAACAGCACCAACCCTTTCAAATAGCGTATCAGCTTGTTAAAGAAGCTGTAGTCAAAGAATTTTCACACCTTCCTACCCAGTAAATGGTTAATTACTCCAATTATTTACACACAAACTTCCTTTGATTCTAAACATTGTTCATTTGTGTCTAAAAAGAAAAATTAATGCAAATTACCTTGCAAAAACTTTACACGTTGATGTATCCACTTTTATAGTGGTGCCAGTGGGGTGTATGTATGTATGTATTTGTATGTGTGTGTGTGTGTATATGTATGTATGTATTTTTTTTTTGCTACTATATAGATAGATATATATATATTTTCATTATTACCTGTATTGCTTGGTGCAATTTTTCACTTCATTCTTCATTCACTTCATTCTTTGGCTGAAGCCATTAGCCGACGCTTTCCTCCTATGAATGAAGTCAAAAATTGCACAAAATGTAAAATTGATACCGCTAAAGCAGATTATCAACATCTGCTTTAACCATATCAATCAGACTGGAAGGACTGTGAATGTCATGGGGCATGGGATAATTATAGAAACTTAGGATAATGTACATAATACCTCCTCTTTTTTTTTTTTTTTATTCTTTTTTTTTTTGATGCATGAATGAACATATCAGCTTATTCTGCCACAATAGCAGTGATAAGCTCAGCAATACAACGCTTCACAATTATGGCAGTTGAGAAAAGCACATTTTTTAAATATATAGGTAATGAGTGGTAGCAGGTAGCGGAAAGCAGGATATATGTCAAGTATTACGGTTCACAAGTGAGTAAGGCAAGCAATATACATTCACCTGAACATAAATATCACTGCGTGCGAGGTTCATGTAACTGTTAAGCAAGCGGTGCACCTTTGTTAGGAGAGGGAAGCAAAGTGAGAAAAAACATTTAGGTCTGCCCGACTGATTAAACACGCTTAATAGTAAATTTACTTAGACTGTCTGGATTTATGTTGCTGCGCTTAGTTCTAGTATGTTGAGTGTTCTAGCTTAATTCTATGTATGTTGAGTGTGCAGATACTGGTTGGGTTAGTCATAGTAAGTGTAAGCAGGATCATGAGTGTGTCAAGATGGAAGGAACTATGCCTAGACTATATGCCTTATGCAGAGAGTTGGTAGCCACAGAGCCTAAAGCATACTGTCAGTCGGGTGACCCATATGTGTTGGAAAAGTCCACTGGAGCTTTGCAGTTTATGTCGCCCTTTCTATCTGGTCTTGTGGCCTGGGACCTCTGGGGTGTATTGATTAGCAGATCTGCTGCGTTTGCTGGCGATGGTCTGCTCCTCCATCCCCCTGACGCTTGGTCGAGCTCCTGAGGTTTCAGCTTTGGGCTCCCCATCCGGGAAGGCAGTCGTGGAACCAGATAAATAAAAGTAACAATAAAAAAAAGGGCTGCGCCACATAAAGTCCAAAAGAAAAGGTAAATAAAAACCAATATAAAAAGTCCAAATAGTGTGTCCTTACGGATAGTCTTTATGGAAGGCTGGTAAGATGGTTGGTTCTTCAAATACAATAGTGGGTCCTCTTATATGAAAGAGAAAAAAGACGGACAACCAATGGTGCAGTATATCAGACTCAAATTAAAGCGAAATAAGAGATAATGATGGAAAACTCACATTTACAAGAGCTTTTGTCCAGCTCTGAGATAAAGCACACACAGCGGTATAATCCCCGTTTATGGGATATATGGTGGGATATCTCTCCGTCAGGGGTGACCAATTCTCGGAAGGAAGAAGAGACAACCAATAGTGCTCACTGTATAGCGGTGATGGTATAAATTAAATAAAAACGTACTTACAAATAGAGAGCAGACGGACTGCTCTATGATGTCAGCGTAAGTGGATTGATCCCCACTTAAGGATTTCTTGGGGTACTGGAGTCTTCCAATTTGTTGGTGCAACCAATAAATGGTTTAAAAATAGTAAAATAATGTAATAAAATGATAATAGTTAAAAAGCCAGGGTAAAAATAAAATAAATGTGTATAAAAGAGATAATTGGCACAAATAAATAACCAAATTAACTTTAATATTAATACACAATATAAATATCCATAACGCGTTTCGTCACAAAAGATTATCAAATGGAATCCATCTGATAAAGTCTTTTGTGACGAAACGCGTTATGGATATTTATATTGTGTATTAATATTAAAGTTAATTTGGATTCCATTTGATAAAGTCTTTTGTGACGAAACGCGTTATGGATATTTATATAGTGTATTAATATTAAAGTTAATTTGGTTATTTATTTGTGCCAATTATCTCTTTTATACACATTTCTTTTATTTTATTTTTACCCTGGCTTTTTAACTATTATCATTTTATTACATTATTTTACACACACAGCTCCTCTTCTTTTCATTATTGGCATTGACAAAGACTCTTATTCAGTAGGAAAAAGCTGTATATTAGTGTTTTGCTGTTAGTAATCCTAACATCTCCTCCTCCACAGAACCCCCGGCTCCTGGATGATGTTAGCTTCCACCCCTGTGTCCGATACAAGCGCTGGGAATCAGAGCGGGTTCTGTCTTTCATTCCCCCTGATGGCAACTTCCGGCTGATGTCCTATCGTGTCAGCTCACAGAAGTGAGTTTAGCAGTAACACCAAGCTATAAATTAACCCATTCATAAGCGAAATGTGTACCATAAACACTTTACATACAATTAATCATAGATATAATGACAACCTAGTACTCTTTCAATCTATGTATTGCGCTAGCAAAACTGGCTGAGTGTAGAACTTTCCGGTTGTTGATTTAAGAAAAAAAGTATTTTCCTCCTGCTTTTAACTGTCTAATACTCTTAGAATACTCTGAGAATGCTCGGCCATGGGAATTAGCACAAGAACATCTGTACATCTTCACGTGTAGTCACAACCTGTAGGATTCTGTTTTATCCCAGTAATAGAGGCTAAATAAAACTTCTCACATTCTTACTACCAGTATTCATTTTGATGTGCTTGACAGATCATTACATACAAAGACATAATATGTTGTTTTTTAGGATCCTTTAGTAAACTGGCCGGAGCGTTACTAAGTTAGAAAAATCCCTCGGTCTTGTAATACGTGAAACTTTGCAGTGTAATGGTTTCTTTATTCCCTGCAGTTTGGTGGCAATTCCAGTATACGTGAAGCACAACATTAGCTTCCAAGATAATAGCTCGAGTGGCAGATTCGATGTGACTGTAGGCCCTAAGCAGAATATGGGAAAGACCGTAGAGGCCATTGTCCTCACTGTGCACATGCCGAAAGTAGTGCTCAACATGAACCTCGTGCCAACGCAAGGGACGTATACATTTGATCCAGTTACTAAGGTATTTCGTGTTGCTTAATATTTTCTTTGCTGTTATGTACCTAAAACACAGATTTACCATCGGTTTAGGTAAATTGCTTGTTAATATAATAATAATAGGCAATGATTTGAATTTAAAAGAGTAACTCCTGCATTCAGGTTATTACGTGTCTCACCTAGGCTGATACATACATATTCAAACCTATGTGAGATTCATTTTATATTGATACACATAACTGCACGAATCACAATTTGTATGGTGGCCTTGAAACTCCTCTCATGGCAATGTGTTCTGAGCTGCGGTTGATGGGAATATTTCCACTTTATACGAACAGCATTTTACAGGTGGCTGCACCACCCCCAGCATGCCAAAAACGTGCTGAACTGACTTGTTCAAAAAGGTCTCTGCAGTGGGGGCATTCTACTGCCACGGTCTGTCTATGGCAGGACTCGTGGTGTGCTTGATTTCTTACAGCTATCATTGGCTGAAATAGCCACAGTATCTATCTACTATGGGCCATGCAGTGTATGGTGTCTGTCATAACCAGGAATTATATGGTCACAATGCTAAAATGTAACTCACTACGCTCTTTATTCTAAGCTGAGTAGTGTGGTTTGAAAGTAGGATTCACTCTCTATGAAAGCCCTTCTAGTCGTACCAATGCCTAATTCATTTTAACTTTGTAAAAGTGGGATAAGTAGCATATCTCCTGATAAAATAAATGTAATTTCCTTTATATCTAGCTTCTAACCCTTACTGCCTATACCTTTTCTCATTTGACAAGGTGCTGAACTGGGATATTGGCAAGATCATCCCACAAAAGCTCCCAAACCTAAAAGGAATAGTCTCATTGCAATCCGGTGTTCCCAAACCAGAAGAAAATCCCAGCCTCAACATTAACTTCAAGATTCAGCAGTTTGCAATATCAGGTAACTAACTGCTATATGCTATAAGGGTTAATGTCCTGTCCGTTTACCGTCATATAATATGTACCAGCCAGTGTTGTAAACTTTAACAATTCCTTTCTTGACATATACAAGCAAAATTATGTGTGTAGTGTCTGCGCTGTTTAATTTTGGCTGTGAATTATGCACTTGCCTTTGTAAATACTGCAAGTTTGGGTTGTTGTCTAGGTATCCTGTTTTGTGTGTGTGTACGACTCTGAAAATGTTGCCTTTCACTGAGCAGACCTCTAATAATCTACTGTGGCACACATTAGCAAGCAAGCATGTTGCATTTACTCAGTCAGAAATAGGATGAGAATTGGACATTTAGCAATATGAATGTGAAGGGCATAGGCCATGTGGTATTGCTACCATATTAGTATTGTATTCTTACCAAATTCTGCTGAGAACTCTGTTGAAGTCAGAGAGCTGACTTGGGATATCTTTGTATGACACAAGAGAACAGTGGATTTTTTTTTATTTTTTTTTTTGAGGCAAGCTGTGGCTCTCATTATAGGACCAGGGGGTTTATACTGATTCTCTGTTACAAAAGCTGAGTAACCGCAAAACCAATTCACGTCAATGCTATTTTGGAAAACTGTTTAACATTTGAAGGGGAGAAGACCCCAACGAGTTCCAAGCACCATATCTGGTTCATTGACATAAAGTGGTTTTGGCGCCAGGAGTAGTCCTTTTAAAGCTGAGAAAAGGAGTACATATTGTAGAAGTAGCCATAATTGAACATTTTTGCATTGCCTCAAATGTAGAATGTGTTGTTTTTTTTTTGTATGATTGGTTGCATGGACCTTGCCAAGTGCAACAGTGTGAACATAAAGTGATATGGAATCCATTCCAATATTTATCTAGCAAAGCACAAGGTGCAGGTACTAGAAGAATAATCTAGTAGCTTGAGAACCACCTGTTGGAGGGTTCTCCTGCCATTTACATCTCGGTAAAGAGTCATGTTGGTCCATTACCCTGTAAACCAGGAGGGTGAAAGAAAGGACCATTGTGTTACTTATTTTGACTATACATTTGCTAACCCAGTGGGTGAACGTTTGACATTTCATGTAAAATAGTTTGTGTACCATGACAATCACACTTTAAAGGGATACTATACGTATCATAACTATGTTCGAATAATAAAGTAGTTTTTGTGTATAGATCATGCCTATGCTCTCTCACTTTAATCACACACAGGAGCCCTGTGCGGGGTCTAACAGGGTATTAACAGAGCAGAAGATAAGAATTCTAAATTAAACAGACTGTACAATAGAGAAAGATTAAAGGAGCACTATAGGGTCAGGAAAACAAACATGTATTCCTGACCCTATAGGGTTAAAACCACCCTCATGCCTCCCTAAATATAGAAATCTTACTTTCTCCCCCCCCCAAGTCTGGAGCCGCTTCATTGTCCCGGTTTCCTTTAGACCTGCCTGCTGACATCATCAGAAGTGGTGGCCTGATCCAATCACAATGCTTTCCCATAGGATTGGCTGAGACTGACAAGGAGGCAGATCAGGGGCAGAGCCAGCATGATTCAAACACAGCCCTGGCCAATCAGCATTTCCTCATAGAGATGAATTGAATCAATGAATCTCTATGAGGAAAGTTCAGGGTCTGCATGCAGAGGATGCAGAGGGAGGAGATACTGAATGTTTGGATGCATTTTAGGCAGCCATGACCCAGGAAGGATCTCTAACAGCCATCTGAGGAGTGGCCAGTGCAGTTATCACTAGGCTGTAATGTAAACACTGCATTTTCTCAGTTTACAGCAAAAAGCTTGAAGGTAATGATTCTACTCACCAGAACAAAGTCAATAAGTTGTAGTTGTTCTGGTGACTATAGTGTCCCTTTAACCCCTTCCCGACCACGGGCGTATCAGGTACATCCGACAAAAAACTGTCCTTAAGGAGCGTGGACATATCTGATACGTCCGCGGCTAATTAGAGCGCTGGTAGCGCAGGTAGGCTTCCGATGCTCTGCCTGTGCTGAGTGCCTCAACCTCTCGTAAAATTATTTTTTTTAATTAACCCCTTCCTTCCCCTCCCTCCCTCTCCCATGTACTACTTCTCCTGCAGCCCAGACAGTCTCCCCCCCCTCCCTACAAATTAGGACCCCTAGGGGCCATGTGAGAGCGGTCACATGGCTGCAATAGGTGTCATAGTACTGCTAGCAGGGGGACTGCCTGAACTGACACAGTCCCTCGGCTAGTGAAAAAAAGTTAAAAATAAGATAAAGTTAATAAATGGAAAAAAATATATATATTATGTATACATCTTATAACATCATACTAAGTATTTTTTTATTAATACACATTAATTTAAAGATACTTAGAGTAAAATTACACATGTGTATATATATTTTAAAAAAACTATTTAAAATTATATAATTTTATTCTAACTGTATTTTGATACTTATATCAAAATACTTAGAATCTATGTATATATGTATAAATAAAAATACGAAATATACATATGTCCATCTACATAATTACATAAATAATTTAATAAATATACATAGACTTCAAATATCTAAATAAGTATATTTCAATTCTATGTGCATATTTAAGTAATATTTTTACATAATTAAGTAATTTTATTGATTACAATTTGAGGGACCTGCCTTACAACCCAGGCCGAAAGTCCAGAGAATTTAAGTTGCTAGCACTGTATTTTACCCTGTAACTTTCTAAGACACTATAAAACCTGTACACGGGGGTTACCGTTTTACTCGGTAGACTTCGCAGAACACAGATATTAGTGTTTCAAAACACAAACATATCACAGCTGATATTGTCACTGAAAGTAGTTTTTGCATTTTTCACACACAAACGGCACTTTCACTGATATTGTTGTAATAAGTTTTACTTTTTGAAATACTAATATTTGTGATTAGCGAAGACTCCCGACTATAACAGTACCCCCCCCATCTACAGGTTTTATAGTGTTTTTGAAAGTTACAGGGTCAAATATAAGGCCGTTTTTTCATATTGATATTTGCCAGATTGGTTATGTTGCCTTTGAGAGCATATGGTAGCCCAGGAATGAGAATTACCCCCCTGATGGCATACCATTTCCAAAAGTAGACAACCCAATGTATTGCAAATGGGGTATGTCCAGTCTTTTTTAGTAGCCACTTAGTCACAAACACTGACCAATGTTAGTGTTCATAATAGTTTTTTTTGCATTTTTTAACACACAAACAAATATAAATTCCAAGTTTGGCCAGTGTTTGTGACTAAGTGGCTACTAAAAAAAGACTGGACATACCCCATATTGAATACCTTGGGATTTTCAAAAATATATGGTTTAATGGGGGTAAATTACATTGGCCGGCTTCAAAAATGTCCCAAATAGCCTTAGTGGTTGTGCTGCCTAAACATATTGTCCCTGTAGTTTCTGCAGTGCAAAGAGTTTTCTGAGAAGAGGCAGGGTTTGCATTGCTTCCCATGACCACTGCTAGTGGCTGTCACTCACACAGTAATAAGAGGTACTTCCTGGTTGTAGTCCTTCAATGTTCAGCATCTCCACAGAGATGCACAAAGTTAGTGCTGCTCTATGAGGACATGCACGGGGATACAGGTAAGAGGAAAGCTTTATTTTATAACTTCTGGAGCCCTTAATCTAAATAGTGGAGGAAGCACTAACATAAGGATACGTTAGTATTTTTAATGCTAGAATGTTCCTTTTAACATGGAAAGTGAGTGCTTCCTTAACTGTGCCATGTCACTGGCTCCCCAGAATTTTGGGAACAGCACTCTGAGAACCCATGCCAAAGAATAAAGTAGGAAGCTCTCATTCTTCAGGTTAATATAGCATTTACAAGTATACTTACTAAAATGAGTTGTTGGGATTTGCACATTTTAGACTAAAACAGGCTATTTTAAAATATTTTTGTTTTCTGCGCCTCTATTTTGGCATTAAGTTTACAATTCCCTGCCCTTTCCAATTTAGTGAGCTCATCTAGTAAAGGATGATTTAGACTAGTGTTTTGTCTACTCGGGTGAAAGCTGGAATGTGATAATGAAAATGTATAGTACAATTCCAATCGTGACATGCTCATTACTAAATACTACTCCCTCTGCAGGACTGAAGGTGAATCGCTTGGATATGTATGGGGAGAGATACAAACCTTTCAAGGGAGTTAAGTACCTCACCAAGGCAGGCAAGTTCCAGGTGCGCACATAACATAAAGCCCACCGTATTCCTGCGCGGAGAAGAGGACAACATTCAGATCCTGTGTTACCTGTGGCACCATACTTCATATCTGAGCAGAAATATTATCTGATTTAAACCAGAAAATGCCAAAAAAGAGAACTATGCTATTTCAGGGAGCCCATAGACATTATGCAGTGCTGAAATCTTGTGTTACAGCCAAATAAATGGTACCAAATATTCTGTAGCAGAGAAAACAGGCTTCTCCTTATAGTAATGTTCAGCAGTAATAGCAGTCTGTCTGCCGAGGGCAGCAAATTTACATTGAAGTGCCTGTAGCTAGAAAACTGCCCGAAGCTACAGCTGCTCTACTTGTCTTACAAGTTCTTCAGAGCGCTGCTGTGTACACGAAAACACACCTTTCTTATTTCCAAATGTCAGATTGCAAGTAGAAACTTGCGTAGTGTACTTCATGGTTTCAGATCTGTCAAACCTGAGGTTGGTGTAGATTAAATCATTTGAAGCACTTTATTCCTGTTGTGCATTACCTGATTTTGTTTAACCCGGTGAAGGACCAAAGTTTTAGAGAGAGAACCTCAGCATGGCTTCCTAGAACTACTATTACTCTAAATAGGGGGCTCAAAGCCAAAACTGTGTTCACTGCACAGAACGTTGAACTTTAAATGGTTAAAAAGCTAATTACTGAAAACAAATAGTGTACAGGCTCAACCAGCAGTCGTGCCAAATCACTAATTTGTGCATTATATTAACCGTACTGTTAATGTACAAATAACTAAATCTACTAGCCGAGTGACTATCACATGTAATGTTTGCAGATACATAATAAAAATCTAAGTACTTGCCCACAGTCCTGTCTGATTGGCCTCAGAAAGCATTCAGAATAAATGTTTGTATTGTCAAATACATCAAACATGTCAGCAAAACTGCCACTGCTCCGGTAGTGACAATTCTTCCACCACACACTGCCTGCGTGTTTACAGCACTAGCAAAGGCACCCATGAGCATGCATAGAGTGTGCTTGGGGTATCATCATAGGAAGATGACATCACCATGAGCCATTCAAGTGCTGCAGAGGATTTCTTTTTGCATAGTATTGAATACATGCAGGCAGGGAATGTATGGCACTATGGGTACAGGGCAGCCAAACAATGTCAATTAAAAATTGAACAACCTATAGATACCCTTTTTAGTTATCTTTCTGGTGATTGAAACTTTTAACTAAATACTGCAACAGTTGGAGATTTGGAGAACAAAAATCAAACTCTGCTATAGTCACAGCACTACACCCCTCAAATGTGACTGTTCCGCTTTGAAGGTTTTAAGTAAAGAGCAATTCTGAGGCCAAGTTCTGGAAGTGGAGCAATCAGCAGGGCATTTGTTTTGGTGATTGATCATTCCATTAGAAAACTGTCCTATAATATGTTTATACAAAACAGCAGTTACGTAGAAAGAAAAAAAACCTCACTCTAAACCACTACCATCCCAAGGCTGGAGAAACATGCTTTCAGATACAGCTTCCATCATGCACAGACTCATTCCTCAACTCCACTACAGTCTTTATATAAATGTTTATCTGTGTCAATTATCTGGTGCCATTATGCATTTGAATGAAGTGATCAATGTAATCATGTTTCTGTGTAAGGATAAATAGAATAGGCCAAAGTGTACAAGTCATTGAAACATTGGAGGATATTTATCAAAGTGTCCTGTTGAGGAGGAGCCACCAGTGGAATGTGCTGGTTCCCATGGTGATTATCCTTTTAGTAATGTGGACCAATTTGTAGAACAAAACATTTTGATAAACCTCTCCCAGAGTGACAAAGGCAAGATAGCTCAACATTAATTTACTCATTAAATGTTGTTTATATATTAATATATAAAAGAATATTAATTTGAGTAATGGCTGGTGTTTTTTTTCACTTTTTCTACATGAGTAATACACACTGATTGAATTCTCCATGTCTGAGTATCTTTCAAACACTGATGGTATAATAGAGAGAAAATTGCACCGCCATTATCTTCAGGTGGCATCTGAGTGAATTTGGGATACCCACACCCGCTAGAGAGGAAGTAGTCCAATAGTTTATCAAGCTACTTTTTCTTGGAATTAAACGTACCATGAAACATTTTCTTTGTCTAGAGTTACTCTACTGTATTAAAACATACCTGAGTACTATCCCTTAGGCGCTCTATTTATTAAAGGATGGCTGATGTGCAGTGGGTTAATGAGTTCTGCTAGTGCCGTGTTGAAACATGCTTAAAATATTCTAGATATTTGAGCAAATTAGTCTGTCTAAAAATCTTACTAATTTTAAGGTTAGACAGTGAATTCTCTCCTATGAGAGTTATATTATTATGGGGGAAAACGCATTGAAAATCACCTGTAATGTGCATGAAGCTTTTTTCCATGAGAGTTTTTATTTGCTTTAAAATTTCCATTAAAGGTTTAGCGAATTACATCATAATCCAGTTCAGACAAGGTAAAGCCAGGAACATTACACAGGGAAGAGGAGATCTGAAACAATGTTTGGTGTTCCCTCTTTGACAAAGCTTAAAACCAATGATTGACAGGGAGCTGTTGAGGCACTCAGGAGGTGTCAATCATAACTCCCCAGTAAATGGCTTGATCAGCAAGTATAGAAACACAAGCAGAAATCTGATATTGTACAAATATTTTTTATTTCTTTTTAATGACTGAACAAAATAAGGCTGAATCAGAGCCCATGCAACGTAACATTGCAGTGTGTGTGTAGATACCCAAGAGCAGGTCTTGCACTGCCCTCTGGCTGCAGGGAGGCTTGCTAATTGATTAATCAACGTATCAACCTCATGCTGCTTTACACTTAGACCTATTCTGCAGCAAGTGGGCTTGCAAATACAATATCCATTCCTGTTTACACTTTGATGGCTCTACACAAATCAAAAAAATAAAACAAGTCTTTGGCTTAACTAATAAGTTTTCATGGGATAAAAAGGCATTATGGCATTTTAATGGAAGTTTACCAGCCTTCACTTTGTAAACCAGAACTGTACAACAATGCAAGTGGCAAGGTGAAGATGATATATGTATGATCCTAAAATTCAGGCCATAACATAGGTATCAAAATGTTCTTTACACTCACTGCAGTTCTCTAGTTCAGCTGGTAAAAGACACCTTGAAAGGATGTCTTGCTGGAAGATTAGAGCGTAGAAGGCAACTTAAGGAAAACATTCTTAATGAAGAGTTCATTACAGTGAACAGGACATATAAACTTCTATATGGACCCTTGAAGACATGTAGGAGCTGGTACTGATCAAACATTATAGGCTCTTATTTTCCCCAAATCTCCATTTGTCACGCAAGAGGTTTTAAAAGTTGGTACCAGCAGTTTAGTGCATTAATGAGCTTATAAAGGATGAGGATAAGTTTCTAAGAAATGCTGTTGCAAGTAGTGTTAGTATTTGTTATCAATTTGCAGCCCAATATAGCTGGTCATCTTTCCCCATAAAAAAAAAAAAAAAAAAATTAACATTACTGATTTGTTCTCAAAAGGGTTCCTTTGAAAAAACAAACAAAGCTTTCATATAATAGCAGCATCCAACTGCAATGCTTATATGAATAGTTAAAACTTTTCCAGATGTGGTGTGAGTCCACTTGTGTGGACAGGTAGGGTAGGCATGACCTACAGGTACGTAGGTATGACTTTAACATGCAATGTAGAATTGGGGGCATCAGAATACATTCAAATTATTGCTCTCCTAATAAAAAGGACACTTCATTAATATTTACGATGAGAAAACATTTGTCATCTGCAATGTGTGTGATCTGGGGACTCTGCCACACAGTCACATCATCATCCAAGGAGGAAGGGAGTTAGACATGCAAAAATAAGGAATCCTATGCCATAAAAACAACAAGTTTAGTGTTTCATATTTTAAAGTGAAGCCTGCTTTACTATATTACTCACAGGCAGTGCTCAGCAGAACAAGGAGGCAGTGCTGTGGCTGTGTCTTTGAGCATGAAATGGTAAACGTCAGATTGAGTAATGCAGACTGACGTACGGTGAGCCAGTCTCTCTCAGCTGAGAATTAACTCTGTTGGTTTTGAATAAGAGATTGACAATGCAGCCCATTAAAAGCAAAAAATAATAGTAAGAATGGTGGTTCAGGAAACCCGAAGAAGAGCCTACATAATGTTAGACAAACTTATAACATAGAAAAACCAATATGTCTAATGACCGTGTCTCATTTAAAAAGCAGCCGTGATGTACTTCATCAGTGATACATTTTGTATTGTGTACAAGGAAGGTATTAGTGTGCTTTGTACAGAAGGATAGGAGTTGGAGATCTTGAGTTACTGGTACCATGGGGTTTTTCGGGCCCAACGAAGAGTGAAACCAGCATCTGTACGGATCTTAATGGACGCGGCTTCAGCTTCTCTCACCGTCTCTTTCACTGACTGCATTAGGTTCTGCGCATTATGAACGAGCATTTCTGTAGCCTGGAAAAGCAATTTAAAAAGTAAGCCAGACGTTAAGGGAATCTTTCATGTGATGCTTTTTCTTTTAAATGTCTATTAAAATATAGCAAATGCCATCACAATCCAAGCACACATTACAAATGAGATTTAGCAAAGTGTTGCGCAGAGTTTGTGCTTTTTCTGGGCTATTTACTAAGTCTGGAGTTGGGCACCAAAAGCAACAGATTTACTAATCATTCCATCTGTTTCTCTACCAGACAAGGTTTCTTTCACTTTTTTTCCTCCACTAAATTTTGTCTTTCACCATCTCTAGCTCAAGTGACAATCTTGTCTGTGGAACGCATCATGCTGTTGGTCATGGGGGAATGCTGCACGCATACATTTGCGTTCCAATAGCTGTAGTTCAAGTCCTTAAGTATACTTTTTAGGCACATTTGTGTCCTTAAGTGTCTGTGTGGGCACAAATAATTGCAAACATACATGATGCATTCCACAGAAAAGATCGGCACTTGAGCTAGAACGCAGCATCACGAGATGGTGGAATAGACGGTGCCTTCCAAAAATACCACAGAGAGCGACAGGCACAAGATGACCTCATCACGCCCTGAAGATAGATAGAACACATCGTGCATTCCACAATCTAGAAAAAAGGCCTGGGTAGCCTAAATAAGAGCTGTTTAAAGACCCTCACCACTGGCTTACTTTATTCTGCAAAACCCCAACTGAAGAAGCCAAGAGACAGGCGAAAAGCATTTTGGGAGACTATTACATAAAGGAATTTGCACCCAATTGGGTATTTTTACATTTCCTTTTTTATGTTTGATTTTCCTCTGTTATATATTACAGACCGTCATATTTCTCTATGCTCCACCCCCAGTGTGTTTTAAAAGTGTGGCTTAAGGGGATCCCCCACGGGAGTGTCTAGAGCATATATACCATTACCACTGTGGATCTTGTTTTGTAGTTTAGGTTTGATTACTATTCTACTTTAAATGTTTTTGCTGGATATGCTACAGCCAAACCTGCCCTGGCACCTTTAAGGAACACTCTAAACACCATAACCACTACAAAGTGATGTAGTGGTTATGGTGCAGAGTGTACCTCCTCAGTGTAAGAAAACTGTTCAGTAACAGTTTGTCCATCGGGTGCTGCTCCCTGCATCCACCTCTCAGCCGTGAACTAAGCCCTTTCTCCTGAAGACTAGGTGGTGGCAAGTATCAGCACCCAACGGGCTAATTACAGTGGGGTTATAGTGCTATAGTGGTTATGGTGCTTGGAGTGTTCTTTTAAACACCCGGCACCCCTGCCCCACATATCCTATCCTGTTAAGGAGTAGAATAGTGGGTTTAAATGTTTACAAGAAAACAGTTGGGGGGTTTTCTGGTCCATTTTCATTGAAAATGTAAATTAAAAACTTTACTAAAATAAACATCTAAGCTCATTTGCAAGTGCCAGATTACTCACTGGACCCTCACTATATGTACATTTGACAAAAAAAAGTGAATTCCATAGATACCAGTCTTATGTGTCAGATAAACCACATACTCTTTTTTAAAAAAAACAAAAAAACTTTAACACCTCAATTTCACAGCATTTTGGCTATGTACCCCCATTTCTCTCTCCCCTCCCACTAAATACAACCAAAATGGTTACATTTTCTTTCCTAGAATGCACAGCTATTTTCTCAGACACACTCCACACCTCTATTTAGTGAGAAAATCGTTCTACTGGGTGGAGGTCACTTCTCTCTGATCATTTCCATGGAATAGTATTACAAAAAAGTTATTGCAAAGATGTGACTTAGAGCAACTAAAAGAAAATCCAGAGCAGTACAGGTAAAGATGCACCACAAACCTTTCAAGATCAGGGTTCAGCAAATCACAGCCATTTCCGATGGGTCAATGATCATGAATAGGTTAGTAAGTTCTTACAGAATTTAACATTAAACATTATTTTTTTATAGAAAAACAAGGACTCCGAACAATTACTGAGTAACTAGTGTTACACTGCAGGGTACATTTATATAGACACACTATACAGTTGGCATGTTCTCACACAAAACCCCCCTCTCATACCTGCTCAGATTCCTCATCGCTGATGTTGGTTCGTCCCAGCATGGTGGCTTTGACAGTACTGAGGATCTTCAGTTGGGTACTTATGGTTGGAATTCTTTCACAAACCTAAGGAAGGATATGTACATCATTCAATTAAGTGCTTGATAGAACGAGGACAAGATTTTGCAGAGAGGAAGCTTTGCTGTGCTCGAATTCAGTATTTCTCAAGCTTTTACGGAGAAGTACCCATGCAGGCCTAAAAATAATCCTTAAGTAGCCCTGCCTCGAGCAAATCATTTCTATTTATTTAAATTCCAAATGGAATAACAAATGTAGTGGTTATGGTACTTTGAGTGTTCTTTTAACACATTAGTATTTTATATATATATACACACACACACTAAAATAGATTAAAAATGTGTTATATATGCACATTAACGTATACTATTACTACAGTCTTAACTTGACCACAAATATTTTATTCATTGATTGCATCGATATAAGCTTGTGCATGTTTGTTCCCACAGATTACATCCATCTCAATGGTACGTGAATAAGACTAAGATTCTTTTATACTTTCATTGCCCCAATGATAATGAA